AAAGTGGATAAAAAATAGTTTTACCCCATCTACACACAATACCCCATAATGACAAAGTGAACACATGTTTTTAGAAATTATTTGCAAATGCATTGAACATTTTATACAGAAATATCTAATTTACATAAGTATTCACACCCCCCGAGTCAATACTTTGTAGAAGCACCTTTGGCAGCGATTACAGCTGTGAGTCTTTCTGGGTAAGTCTTAAGAGTTTTCTACACCTGGATTGTGCAACATTTGCCCATTTTAATCTTTTCAAAATAAAAGCTGTGTCAAATTGGTTGTTGATCATTGCTAGACAACCATTTTCAGGTCTTGCCATAGATTTTCAAGCAGATTTAATTCAAAACTGTAACTTGGTCACTCGAGAACATTAACTGTCTTCTTGGTAAGCAACTCCAGTGTAGATTTGGCCTTGTGTTTTAGATTATTGTCCTGCTGAAAGGTGAATTCATCTCCCAGTGTCTGGTGGAAAGCAGACTGAACCAGGTTTTCCTCTAGGATTTTGCCTGTGCTTAGCTCCATTCCGTTTATTTTTTATCCTGAAAAACTCCCCAGCCCTTAACGATTACAAGCATACCCATAACATGATGCGGCCACCACTATGCTTGAAAATATGGAGCGTGGTACTCAGTAATGTAATGTGTTGTCTTGGATTTGCCCCAAACATAGCACTTTTGTATTCAGGACAAAAAGTGAATTACTTTGCCACATTTTTTGCAGTAGTACTGCTTTGCGAGGCATTGGAAAACCTCCCTGGTCTTTGTGGTTGAATCTGTGCTTGAAATTCACTGCTCGACTAAGGGACCTTACAGATAATTGTTTGTGTACGGTACAGAGATGAGGTAATCATTCAAAAATCACTATTATTGCACAGAGTGAGTCCATGTAACCTATGTGACTGGTTAAGCACATTTTTACTCCTGAACATATTTAGGCATGCCATAAAAAAAAGTTATGGCAGTTGAATGCTTATTGACATTTCAGCTTTTCATTTTTTTTTTTTTTTTTATAATCTAAAAGCATAATTCGACTTTGACATTATGGGGGTATTGTGTGTAGATCAGTGACAAAAATCTCGATTTTAGTCAATTTTAAAATCAGGCTGTATCAATAATGTGCAGAAAGTCAGGGGGCACTGTGTGTGTGTGTGTGTGTGTGTGTGTGTGTGTGTGCTTCTAGGCCTTCTAGGTGAGGGGGGAAAAAGTATTTGATCCCCCTGCTGATTTTGTACGTTTGCCCACTGACAAATAAATGATCAGTCTAGAATTTTAATGGTAGGTTTATTTGAACAGTGAGAGACAGAATAACAACAACAAAATCCAGAAAAACACATGTCAAACTGAAATAAAAGATCCCAGAAATGTTCCATACACACAAAAAAGCTTATTTCTCTCAAATGTTGTGAACAAATTTGTTTACGTTCCTGTTAGTGAGCCTTTTCCTTTGCCAAGATAATCCATCCACCTGACAGGTGTGGCATATCAAGAAGCTGATTAACCAGCATAATCATTACACAGGTGCACCTTGTGCTGGAGACAATAAAAGGCCACTCTAAAATGTGCAGTTTTGTCACACAACACAATGCCACAGATGTCTCAAGTTTTGAGGGAGCGTGCAATTGGCATGCTGACTGCAGGAATGTCCACCAGAGCTGTTGAATGTTCATTTCTCTACCATAAGCCGCCTCCAACGTTGTTTTAGAGAATTTGGCTCTATGTCAAACCGACCTCACAACTGCAGACCACGTGTAACCACGCCAGCCCAGGACCTCCACATCTGGATTCTTCACCTGCGGGATCATCTGAGACCAGCCACCAGGACAGCTGATGGAACTGAGGATTATTTCTGTCTGTAATAAAGCCCTTTTTGTGGGGAAAATCTAATTCTGATTGGCTGGGCCTTGCTCCACAGTGGGTGGGCCAGTCTCCCAAGTGGGTGGGCCTATTCCCTCCCAGGCCAACCCATGGCTGCGCCCCTGCCCAGTCATGTGAAACCCGTAGATTAGGACCTAATGAATGTATTTCAATGGACTGATTTCCTTATATGAACTATAAAATCATTCGAATTCATGTTGCGTTTTATATTTTTGTTCAGTATAGTTTTTTTTCTTCTTCTGTATGTCTCTACCAGGAAGGGGGCAGTTGACTGTACTTTATAAGCCAACGTAGCAGATGGAGATCTGTAAAACTCACTCCTCAGCCTGAAGTGTCTCCACTTGCGCTGCCACATAGCTAGCTTTTCTGTAGCATGACTGGGTAAGACGCTTCAGGAGGGTGTCACGTGTGTTTGTGAGGCAGAGGTCCTGGGTTCGAGCCTCTGTATGAGCAGAAGGAATCTGTACTCCCTAAGCAAGCAGCGTGACGTCCTTTTACACTAATACTGTTTTTTTTTTTTTTTTATCTGCAGAAGTGAGCCCCATTACAACCCAGCCCAGAAGAGTTCCCAGTCCATAGCCTTCCCCAGACTGTTATACTTTGGGGATCAGAACCTGCTGACCTGGACAGACTCGGCTATCTATGTCTTCACTCCTCAGAGTGGCCAGGTGCTGCTGTGGACCGAGGTCAAAGGTTAGTAGCAGTAGCTTTAGGTAGGACTTCAGCATTATCCCATAACAACAAACTAACTACACGGAACTAAAATATCAACGCAACATCTAAAGTGCTGGTCCCATGTTTTCATGAGCTGAAATAAAAGATCCCAGAAATGTCCATACGCACAAAAAGGCTTATTTCTCTCACATGTTGTGCACACGTTTGTTGACATCCCTGTTAGTGAGCATTTTTCTTTTGTCAAGATAATCCATCCACCTGACAGATGTGGCATATCAAGAAGCTGATTAAAAAGCATGATCATTACACAGGTGCACCTTGTGCTGGGGGACAATAAAATGCCACTAAAATGTGCAGTTTTGTCACACAACACAATGCCACTGATGTCTCAAGTTTTGAGGGAGCGTGCAATTGGCATGCTGACTGCAGGAATATCCACCAGAGCTGTTGCCAGATAATTGAATGTCCAGGACCTCCACGTCCGGCTTCTTCACCTGTGGGATCGCTAGATTAGTGTCTGATGCATTTATTTCAATTGACTGATTTCCTTTATATGAACTGTAAGTCAGTAAAATCTTAGGAGTTGTTGCGTTTTTATAATTTAGTTCAGTATATGTAGTATTTGAGTGCACACTTCAGATCTGTGACTATTTATCTAGAGGTTTCTCTACTAGCCTTCGGTTAAAAAAGGCCAAAATATTAATTCATGATCTGAAAAGAAAATGGACACTCAATAATTTTGTTTTTTCCTTCTGCAGATCTGGTTGAGATAGCGGTGTACCGCAACGAGCTGTTCTGTCTCCATGGTGACGGCCACTTGTCCCACCTCTCGCTGTTGTCTGTGGAGCGGTGTGTCGAGAGGTTGCTGCGCAGGGAGGCGTGGCCTCTAGCGGCCACGGTCTGTGTGATGTTCCAGCATGCTATCGCCCCCAGCAGGGTGAGACTCATATTACTGCAGTTTTTCCCAAACATCTCCTCAAAGTGCTCTTAGGGCGTTTTGAGCTGTAGTTCGAATCAGAGTTCGACTGTTTGTTACATTGTATTTCTTTTTCATCTGGTTCAGTTGGTTTCACATTGCCAAATGTCGAACTAACAAAAATTCCTAAACAAAAACCACGTATCCATGCAAGTCATTTGTTTATTGGACAAAAAAAAATGCTCACGTTAAATCCATTTATGATTATCATGAAGCATCACTTGTGTGTCCCAGTCTTCATATTACTTTTCGCTTTGGTCTTCCAACAACATGCAGGAGGAAACTCAGGGCCGGCCCGACCATTAGGCAGAATTAGGCCTTGATCTACCCCATTCATAGACGCTAACTGCTTTAGCACCTATTGACGATAGTATCTTCTGACGGGGGGGGGCTTTTTGTTAAGAGCCCTGGCGCTCGGTCTGAAAGTTAACACGCATCGCTTGCGGTACTGTTTTGGAAACATAGGGACCTTTATCTTTCATATCAGCGAGGAAATAATTTTCAAAAATACAAAAGGTTAAATTGATACACATTCCCACACGGTCATATCTCCATGTTACAGCGTTTGCTTACAGAAGGAAGACAGAGGCGACCACCTGTGCTAATGATCTAATCTAGCGTGCTCTGAACACCTGTGTGGAAGCGTAACTCAGGAAGCGTAACTCAGGAAGTGTAACTCAGGAAGTGTAGTTTGTCAGCTGGAGGCCCCACAGCTGTGTGGATCTGTGCATAAACTACAGTCAGTGTATTTTTTTATTTGAAGGATTCTTTCTCGCTGATGAAAGATAAAGGCCATATGTTACAAAAACAGTATTAGTAAGCAATGATTATTGAAGTTTCGAAACCTTAAAACACAGCATCGGGATTGTAGTTGACATGAGCCAGTCATGGGTGAAGCTAATGGCTGAGAACTGTAGGGAGAAGGCAGAATGGATGAACTGTAGGGAGAAGGCAGAATGGATGAACTGTAGGGAGAAGGCAGAATGGATTAACTGTAGGGAGAAGGCAGAATGGATGAACTGTAGGCAGAAGGCAGAATGGATGAACTGTAGGCAGAAGGCAGAATGGATGAACTGTAGGCAGAAGGCAGAATGGATGAACTGTACGGAGAAGGCAGAATGGATGAACTGTAGGGAGAAGGCAGAATGGATGAACTGTAGGCAGAAGGCAGAATGGATGAACTGTAGGGAGAAGGCAGAATGGATGAACTGTAGGGAGAAGGCAGAATGGATGAACTGTAGGGAGAAGGCAGAATGGATTAACTGTAGGCAGAAGGCAGAATGGATGAACTGTAGGGAGAAGGCAGAATGGATGAACTGTAGGAAGAAGGCAGAATGGATGAACTGTACGGAGAAGGCAGAATGGATGAACTGTACGGAGAAGGCAGAATGGATGAACTGTACGGAGAAGGCAGAATGGCTGAACTGTAGGCAGAAGGCAGAATGGATTAACTGTAGGCAGAAGGCAGAATGGATGAACTGTACGGAGAAGGCAGAATGGATGAACTGTACGGAGAAGGCAGAATGGATTAACTGTAGGCAGAAGGCAGAATGGATGAACTGTAGGGAGAAGGCAGAATGGATGAACTGTAGGGAGAAGGCAGAATGGATGAACTGTAGGGAGAAGGCAGAATGGATGAACTGTAGGGAGAAGGCAGAATGGATGAACTGTACGGAGAAGGCAGAATGGATGAACTGTACGGAGAAGGCAGAATGGATGAACTGTACAGAGAAGGCAGAATGGATGAACTGTACAGAGAAGGCAGAATGGATGAACTGTAGGAAGAAGGCAGAATGGATGAACTGTACGGAGAAGGCAGAATGGATGAACTGTACGGAGAAGGCAGAATGGATGAACTGTACGGAGAAGGCAGAATGGATGAACTGTACGGAGAAGGCAGAATGGATGAACTGTAGGGAGAAGGCAGAATGGATGAACTGTAGGGAGAAGGCAGAATGGATGAACTGTACGGAGAAGGCAGAATGGATGAACTGTACGGAGAAGGCAGAATGGATGAACTGTAGCCAGAAGGCAGAATGGATGAACTGTACAGAGAAGGCAGAATGGATGAACTGTACAGAGAAGGCAGAATGCCACCTAGGGTTTCTAGAGAGCTAGGTTAGGCCTATGGTGGCAGATTGCCGAGGGTGGCATTTTCCCAGCTACACTGACCAAGACGCACCTCCAACAACACACACAACCTGCCAAATAATTCTGCCAAAAAAAAAAACAATGACAAATGCTCTCAACTAGTGGCATATAGGCATTTTTTTAAAAGTGAGTGCTGATGGTAAGCAATGCCTACTTTGTCAAAGGCGAAAGGCGCTACATAGTTTAGCTCGTCCATTCCCAGCTGCTGCTGGGGAGACTCAATGTATAAATAATTAAATAATTGGTCATTTAGCAGACGCTCTTATCCAGAGCGACTTACAGGAGCAATTAGGGTTAAGTGCCTTGCTCAAGGGCACATCGACAGATTTTTCATCTAGTCGGCTCGGGGATTAGAACCAGCGACCTTTCGGTTACTGGCACAACGCTCTTAACCACTAAGCTACCTGCCGCCCATGTATCAGATATAGGATATGGTAGAACCAGTATGTGGCCTTTTCTGTAGCCTACAGGCTGGAGATAAAAACGTGTGACGATGTAATGAAACGGACACTTTTCACATCATGCAGGTTTCTCCGATCAAATAGCCTCACCTAAATGGCGCTCAATCAAATCAAATAAAACGTGTTAACAGACAACGTAATCCTAAAAACAGGGCAGGTCAAAGTAAACTTACGTTTACATTTTAAGTCATTTAGCAGACGCTCTTATCCAGAGCGACTTACAGGAGCAATTAGGGTTAAGTGCCTTGCTCAAGGGCACATTGACAGATTTTTTCACCTAGTGTTGCTCGGGGATTAGAACCAGCGACCTTTCAGTTACTGGCACAACGCTCTTAACCACTAAGCTACCTGCCGCCCCAGGTTTAGCCCCCTAACTTGACAATAATGGGATGGGATACTCACAACTGCTGTCCAAGAGTTTCACCCCATGGGCTAAATTATCACGATCAGTGGTTTCAAGTTTGTATGTCGGCTGATAATAGCGAAAATTGAAAATATCCTACTTCTGCATTTCCCACTTGTGTAAACACATTTGATTCTCATTGCAAATAGGCTCAGGATAACTCTTGATAAAGTTGGGTATCTGATTTTCAGAGCTCAAATAGCCAAATTGATTAGTCCCAGGAATCAGGGTTAAAAAAAGCCAATGTAATGGCCTGTTTTCCCAACGGTAGGCCTACCACATGGATGGGCATTCAGAAAACTCCATTGCTGGCAGACACTAGGCTACACCCCAGTAAGCACGGGCCGACAACATTTGTACGTCTTTTTTTGGTCCTGTTTGGACTGGCCTTCTTTTTTTTGGGGTGCAGTCCGGACCTTGATTTCCACAGACGTTGATTTTGGGTGCAGTCCGGACCTTGATTTCCACAGACGTTGATTTTGGGTGCAGTCCGGACCTTGATTTCCACAGACGTAGATTTTTGGTCCGGTCTGGAAATTTGGGGCATTTAAGATAACCCTAACCCTTTTCTTAACCTTAACCTACATTTATTTTTTATTTTTTATTTTTATTTCACCTTTATTTAACCAGGTAAGCCAGTTGAGAACAAGTTCTCATTTACAACTGCGACCTGGCCAAGATAAAGCAAAGCAGTGCGATAAAAACAACAACACAGAATTACATATGGGGTAAAACGAAACATAAAGTCAAAAATACAACAGAAAATATATATACAGTGTGTGCAAATGTAGCAAGTTATGGAGGTAAGGCAATAAATAGGCCATAGTGCAAAATTATTACAATTAGTATTAACACTGGAATGCTAGATGTGCAAGAGTAGATGTGCAAATAGAGATACTGGGGTACAAATGAGCAAAATAAATAACAATATGGGGATGAGGTAGTTGGGTGGGCTAATTACAGATGGACTGTGTACAGGTGCAGTGATCGGTAAGGTGCTCTGACAACTGATGCTTAAAGTTAGTGAGGGAGATGAGAGTCTCCAGCTTCAGAGATTTTTGCAATTCGTTCCAGTCATTGGCAGCAGAGCAATTAACCTGCTACGTTAATTGTCCTAACGTGCTGTGTAAGTTCTCCTAACCTGCTCTAAAAAGTCAAATCCTGACATTAATTTGACAAAAGATGGAATCCCTTCTAGCCATGACCCCAGGACCGGACCTGGCCGCTCTAACTGTGACGTGAATAGTCTATATTCAGTAGCCTGTATCCCCGGTATAGCCCCCGTCTCCCCTAATCTGCATCGGATGCGCTCATAAACGCGCTGCTACTCACAGAATGTTTCAGAGATCTCAAATGCTCAAGTCAAACAACCAATAATAACGCGCGACTTGTGGTTCTTTTCCTGTGATTGGTCCGGACTGCGTTCTCACCTGCAGCGAACTGCACCACGGTACGAATTGAATCGGACCGAGACCACCCTTTTTTGAGCGAACCACAGTGCGTTGTTTAGTGTGCTCCTGAGTGCGAATAGTGTTCACACCAGTCCAAACGAACCCAACTAAGGGGGTAAACGCACCAGAGTTGGGGGGGGGGGGGGAAACCGCTCCAAACCAATTTGGTGTGAAAGCCCCCTAAAAGAAATGGTTGGGGGTACTTGACTGACCCACTAGCACCCTCCTGAGTCCAGGCTAACCCAAATCATATTCTCAAGTATCATGTTAGCTAACTGCAAATGTTGTGTGCTGAAAATCGGAAGAAGACGTGTATTATGATTTGATTTGATTTATTAGGATCCCCATTAGCCGACGCCAATGGAGACAGATAGTCTCGATGTGGTCCTCTGTAGCTCAGCTGGTAGAGCACGGCGCTTGTAACGCCAGGGTAGTGGGTTCGATCCCTGGGACCACCCATACACAAAAAAAAAAGAAAAAGAAATGTATGCACGCATGACTGTAAGTCGCTTTGGATAAAAGCGTCTGCTAAATGGCATATTATTATTAACGGAGTCCGACACATAACGAAAAATACATTATAGACAAAGTAATTTACAATTTACATACATTTAAAAACATTAACATGTAGTGTGAATGTGCATCTATCAGTTACACATACATGTCAGTACATACACACAACAAGTATGTCACATGGGGGAGAGGCGTTGTGCCGTGAGGTGTTGCTTTATTTGTTTTTTGAAACCAGGTTTTCTGTTCACTTGGTCTATATGAGATGGAAGGGAAATCCATGCACTCATGGCTCTGTATAATACTGTACGTTTCCTTGAATTTGTTCTGGACCCGGGGACTGTGAAAAGACCCCTGGTGGCATGTCTGGTGGGGTAAGTGTGTGTGTCAGTGCTGTGTGTAAGTTGACTACGCAAACAGTTTGGAATTTCCAACACATTAATGTTTCTTATAAAAACAAAAAGTGACGCAGTCAGTCTTTCCTCAACTCTCAGCCAAGAGAGACTGGCATGAATAGTATTTATATTAGCCCTCTGATTACAATGAAGACGTGCCGCTCTGTTCTGGGCCAGCTGCAGCTTAACTACGTCTTTCTTTGACCAAATGACTGAACAATAATCAAGATAAGATCAAACTAGAGCCTGCAGGACTTGCTTTGTGGAGTGCGGTGTCAAAAAAGCAGAGCATCTCTTTATTACGGACAGACCTCTCCCCATCTTTACATCCATTGAATCTATATGTTTTGACCATGACGGTTTACAATCTAAGGTAACACCAAGTAATTTAGTCTCCTCAACTTGTTCAACAGCCACACCATTCACTACCAGATTCAGCTGAGGTCTAGAACTTAGGGAATGATTTGTGTATCCTCCGTGCTAATCTGATTATCGTTCCCAGGCCAGGAAGTCGATTCCCATCGACCGACTGGATCACCTGAGGTCACAGCTCAGTGTCTCCACCCACCTGGATCTGATTGGCCAGCTGGAGGAAGTGGGCGCCAAACTGGAGCCTCTAGACTCCGCCTCCAGCAGTCGCAGGAGCAGCATCTCCTCTCATGTGAGTCTGTCTGGAGGTCCTGTTTGTCCCTGACAGGACACAGTAGTTCTGAACTATTAAACTATGCTGTGTAGAGATGTTATATTGGTATCTCAGGTTTTACAAGATGTTCAGTATAACTTGTATAGTGTCTACATAAAGACACATTTATAACCCATACACAACACATACATGCATAACACATTTTTTAAGCAGTGCATGACATAAGGCTTTATGTGATTTTATTATGAATGTGTTATGAAGTCCTTATGTTGGTAACCCTCAATCTGTTCTTTATTCAGGAGAGCTTCAACGTCCTGGACTGTGGCATCTACCGTGTCATTAGCCGGCGAGGCAGCCAATCGGACGAGGAGACCAGCTCCCTGGTCAGCCAATCGATGCTTGAGGAGGAGCGGCTGAAGGAGTTTAGCTTGGTTCAGGAGGAAGAGGAGGAGGAGGAGGAGGAGCGGCAGCAGGGGGCGGAGCATGGTAAAGAGACAGGTGCAGGGTTTCGTTTTAAATAACCCACCGTTACCAGCCCTGAGGAAGTTCTCTGACTAAAATGAGGAAGAGAAATGATCATGTTTTGTAGTGGTGGGAGTGGCGTTACAGTGGCTTGATTTCATTTTGTATGGGAAGTCAAATGTGAATGAAACTACTGTAGAATAAAACCCTAATAGCATTAACACTAGAGAAAAAAAACATGTAAGTTACCTCCGTGGGATCATCCTGTGCACATTACCTCATCAGGGTTTTTTGTTGGGTGTTATTGTTATTTTATATATATATTAGTTTTTTATTTTTATTTTTTTGCAGTGGTTTTGTGCAGCTTTGGCTGCTTGCATTCTCTCCTCTCATCCTCCTCCCCATCCATCCATCCATCCCTCCCTCCCTCCCTCCCTCCATCCCTTCTTCCTCCAGATCCCCTGAGCGGTGATGGTTTGAAGGGTACTGAACCCAGCGGTAACCACCAGTTCCACCTCCCCATGTCATTCCGCCCCAAACACTCCCGCATTGCCCTGAAGGCCGTCAGAGACAGGTGAAGCATCCATCTACAGAGCCTAAAGAAGCCTTTGTGTCGTGATACTGAAGTTATCATTTTTATTCCAACGCTATGGTATATTCATTTAGCTTAGCCTTTATTTAACCAGGATGAAAATCCTTTGAGGTAAAAAAAAACCTGTTTTCTGAGGCCCGAAGGAGAGACTTATTGAATGATCAACTGATAGCCCGCTAGACATGTTCTTGATGCATCATTCTTTGTGTGGAAATCTTGGGTGGTTAGGAATGAACATAATCAATATAAACATCTCTAGTTAGTCCTTTGTGAAACTAAGTCCTTTACTAACAGGTTGTATGTAGACTGAAAGAGAAGTGAAAGTCGTGATTTAAAATAACTTAGCTTCAAGGTGAAACCATTTGAAAGTGCAGCTGTTCCCTCTGATAGGGGTTACTTCCCTGTTCTACCTAACAACCACATTAAATAACAGAGTTTTTATTCAAGCCTTACATTCACTGACTTTCATCTCCACTACAGATGCATTCGGTACGTTTCACTTCACTTATGATTTCAATTCAGATTCATGCTGTTTCTGTTCTTAGTGTCTGAGGTGGTATTTAGAGTTACTCTGTTAGTGTCTGAGGTGGTATTTAGAGTTACTCTGTTCTTAGTGTCTGAGGTGGTATTAAGAGTTACTCTGTTAGTGTCTTAGGTGGTATTTAGAGTTACTCTGTTAGTGTCTGAGGTGGTATTCAGAGTTACTCTGTTAGTGTCTGAGGTGGTATTCAGAGTTACTCTGTTCTTAGTGTCTGAGGTGGTATTCAGAGTTACTCTGTTCTTAGTGTCTGAGGTGGTATTCAGAGTTACTCTGTTAGTGTCTGAGGTGGTATTTAGAGTTACTCTGTTCTTAGTGTCTGAGGTGGTATTTAGAGTTACTCTGTTAGTGTCTGAGGTGGTATTCAGAGTTACTCTGTTAGTGTCTGAGGTGGTATTCAGAGTTACTCTGTTCTTAGTGTCTGAGGTGGTATTCAGAGTTACTCTGTTCTTAGTGTCTGAGGTGGTATTCAGAGTTACTCTGTTAGTGTCTGAGGTGGTATTTAGAGTTACTCTGTTCTTAGTGTCTGAGGTGGTATTTAGAGTTACTCTGTTAGTGTCTGAGGTGGTATTTAGAGTTACTCTGTTCTTAGTGTCTGAGGTGGTATTTAGAGTTACTCTGTTAGTGTCTGAGGTGGTATTTAGAGTTACTCTGTTAGTGTCTGAGGTGGTATTTAGAGTTACTCTGTTCTTAGTGTCTGAGGTGTTATTTAGAGTTACTCTGTTAGTGTCTGAGGTGGTATTTAGAGTTACTCTGTTCTTAGTGTCTGAGGTGGTATTTAGAGTTACTATGTTAGTGTCTGAGGTGGTATTTAGAGTTACTCTGTTAGTGTCTGAGGTGGTATTTAGAGTTACTCTGTTAGTGTCTGAGGTGGTATTCAGAGTTACTCTGTTCTTAGTGTCTGAGGTGGTATTTAGAGTTACTCTGTTAGTGTCTGAGGTGGTATTTAGAGTTACTCTGTTAGTGTCTGAGGTGGTATTTAGAGTTACTCTGTTCTTAGTGTCTGAGGTGGTATTTAGAGTTACTCTGTTAGTGTCTGAGGTGGTATTTAGAGTTACTCTGTTAGTGTCTGAGGTGGTATTCAGAGTTACTCTGTTAGTGTCTGAGGTGGTATTTAGAGTTACTCTGTTAGTGTCTGAGGTGGTATTCAGAGTTACTCTGTTCTTAGTGTCTGAGGTGGTATTCAGAGTTACTCTGTTAGTGTCTGAGGTGGTATTCAGAGTTACTCTGTTAGTGTCTGAGGTGGTATTCAGAGTTACTCTGTTAGTGTCTAAGGTGGTATTTAGAGTTACTCTGTTCTTAGTGTCTGAGGTGGTATTTAGAGTTACTCTGTTAGTGTCTGAGGTGGTATTTAGAGTTACTCTGTTAGTGTCTGAGGTGGTATTTAGAGTTACTCTGTTAGTGTCTGAGGTGGTATTTAGAGTTACCCTGTTAGTGTCTGAGGTGGTATTCAGAGTTACTCTGTTAGTGTCTGAGGTGGTATTTAGAGTTACTCTATTAGTGTCTGAGGTGGTATTTAGAGTTACTCTGTTCTTAGTGTCTGAGGTGGTATTTAGAGTTACTCTGTTCTTAGTGTCTGTGGTATTTAGAGTTACTCTGTTAGTGTCTGAGGTGGTATTTAGAGTTACTCTGTTCTTAGTGTCTGAGGTGGTATTTAGAGTTACTCTGTTAGTGTCTGAGGTGGTATTTAGAGTTACTCTGTTAGTGTCTGAGGTGGTATTTAGAGTTACTCTGTTCTTAGTGTCTGAGGTGGTATTTAGAGTTACTCTGTTAGTGTCTGAGGTGGTATTTAGAGTTACTCTGTTAGTGTCTGAGGTGGTATTCAGAGTTACTCTGTTCTTAGTGTCTGAGGTGGTATTTAGAGTTACTCTGTTAGTGTCTGAGGTGGTATTTAGAGTTACTCTGTTCTTAGTGTCTGAGGTGGTATTTAGAGTTACTCTGTTAGTGTCTGAGGTGGTATTCAGAGTTACTCTGTTCTTAGTGTCTGAGGTGGTATTTAGAGTTACTCTGTTAGTGTCTGAGGTGGTATTTAGAGTTACTCTGTTCTTAGTGTCTGAGGTGGTATTTAGAGTTACTCTGTTAGTGTCTGAGGTGGTATTCAGAGTTACTCTGTTCTTAGTGTCTGAGGTGGTATTTAGAGTTACTCTGTTAGTGTCTGAGGTGGTATTTAGAGTTACCCTGTTAGTGTCTGAGGTGGTATTTAGAGTTACTCTGTTAGTGTCTGAGGTGGTATTTAGAGTTACTCTGTTAGTGTCTGAGGTGGTATTCAGAGTTACTCTGTTAGTGTCTGAGGTGGTATTTAGAGTTACTCTGTTAGTGTCTGAGGTGGTATTCAGAGTTACTCTGTTCTTAGTGTCTGAGGTGGTATTTAGAGTTACTCTGTTAGTGTCTGAGGTGGTATTTAGAGTTACTCTGTTAGTGTCTGAGGTGGTATTCAGAGTTACTCTGTTAGTGTCTGAGGTGGTATTCAGAGTTACTCTGTTCTTAGTGTCTGAGGTGGTATTTAGAGTTACTCTGTTAGTGTCTGAGGTGGTATTTAGAGTTACTCTGTTAGTGTCTGAGGTGGTATTCAGAGTTACTCTGTTAGTGTCTGAGGTGGTATTTAGAGTTACTCTGTTAGTGTCTGAGGTGGTATTCAGAGTTACTCTGTTCTTAGTGTCTGAGGTGGTATTTAGAGTTACTCTGTTCTTAGTGTCTGAGGTGGTATTTAGAGTTACTCTGTTAGTGTCTGAGGTGGTATTTAGAGTTACTCTGTTAGTGTCTGAGGTGGTATTCAGAGTTACTCTGTTAGTGTCTGAGGTGGTATTTAGAGTTACTCTGTTAGTGTCTGAGGTGGTATTTAGAGTTACTCTGTTAGTGTCTGAGGTGGTATTTAGAGTTACTCTGTTAGTGTCTGAGGTGGTATTCAGAGTTACTCTGTTAGTGTCTGAGGTGGTATTTAGAGTTACTCTGTTCTTAGTGTCTGAGGTGGTATTTAGAGTTACTCTGTTCTTAGTGTCTGAGGTGGTATTTAGAGTTACTCTGTTAGTGTCTGAGGTGGTATTTAGAGTTACTCTGTTCTTAGTGTCTGAGGTGGTATTTAGAGTTACTCTGTTAGTGTCTGAGGTGGTATTTAGAGTTACTCTGTTAGTGTCTGAGGTGGTATTCAGAGTTACTCTGTTAGTGTCTGAGGTGGTATTTAGAGTTACTCTGTTAGTGTCTGAGGTGGTATTTAGAGTTACTCTGTTAGTGTCTGAGGTGGTATTTAGAGTTACTCTGTTAGTGTCTGAGGTGGTATTTAGAGTTACTCTGTTAGTGTCTGAGGTGGTATTTAGAGTTACTCTGTTAGTGTCTGAGGTGGTATTCAGAGTTACTCTGTTCTTAGTGTCTGAGGTGGTATTTAGAGTTACTCTGTTAGTGTCTGAGGTGGTATTTAGAGTTACTCTGTTCTTAGTGTCTGAGGTGGTATTTAGAGTTACTCTGTTAGTGTCTGAGGTGGTATTTAGAGTTACTCTGTTCTTAGTGTCTGAGGTGGTATTTAGAGTTACTCTGTTAGTGTCTGAGGTGGTATTTAGAGTTTACTCTGTTAGTGTCTGAGGTGGTATTTAGAGTTACTCTGTTAGTGTCTGAGGTGGTATTTAGAGTTACTCTGTTCTTAGTGTCTGAGGTGGTATTTAGAGTTACTCTGTTAGTGTCTGAGGTGGTATTTAGAGTTACTCTGTTAGTGTCTGAGGTGGTATTTAGAGTTACTCTGTTAGTGTCTGAGGTGGTATTTAGAGTTACTCTGTTAGTGTCTGAGGTGGTATTTAGAGTTACTCTGTTCTTAGTGTCTGAGGTGGTATTTAGAGTTACTCTGTTAGTGTCTGAGGTGGTATTTAGAGTTACTCTGTTAGTGTCTGAGGTGGTATTTAGAGTTACTCTGTTCTTAGTGTCTGAGGTGGTATTTAGAGTTACTCTGTTTAGTGTCTGAGGTGGTATTTAGAGTTACTCTGTTAGTGTCTGAGGTGTTATTCAGAGTTACTCTGTTAGTGTCTGAGGTGGTATTTAGAGTTACTCTGTTAGTGTCTGAGGTGGTATTCAGAGTTACTCTGTTAGTGTCTGAGGTGGTATTTAGAGTTACTCTGTTAGTGTCTGAGGTGGTATTTAGAGTTACTCTGTTCTTAGTGTCTGAGGTGGTATTTAGAGTTACTCTGTTAGTGTCTGAGGTGGTATTTAGAGTTACTCTGTTAGTGTCTGAGGTGGTATTTAGAGTTACTCTGTTAGTGTCTGAGGTGGTATTCAGAGTTACTCTGTTAGTGTCTGAGGTGGTATTTAGAGTTACTCTGTTAGTGTCTGAGGTGGTATTTAGAGTTACTCTGTTAGTGTCTGAGGTGGTATTCAGAGTTACTCTGTTAGTGTCTGAGGTGGTATTTAGAGTTACTCTGTTAGTGTCTGAGGTGGTATTCAGAGTTACTCTGTTAGTGTCTGAGGTGGTATTTAGAGTTACTCTGTTCTTAGTGTCTGAGGTGGTATTTAGAGTTACTCTGTTAGTGTCTGAGGTGGTATTTAGAGTTACTCTGTTAGTGTCTGAGGTGGTATTCAGAGTTACTCTGTTAGTGTCTGAGGTGGTATTCAGAGTTACTCTGTTCTTAGTGTCTGGGGTGGTATTCAGAGTTACTCTGTTCTTAGTGTCTGAGGTGGTATTCAGAGTTACTCTGTTAGTGTCTGAGGTGGTATTTAGAGTTACTCTGTTCTTAGTGTCTGAGGTGGTATTTAGAGTTACTCTGTTAGTGTCTGAGGTGTTATTTAGAGTTACTCTGTTCTTAGTGTCTGAGGTGGTATTCAGAGTTACTCTGTTAGTGTCTGAGGTGGTATTCAGAGTTACTCTGTTCTTAGTGTCTGGGGTGGTATTCAGAGTTACTCTGTTAGTGTCTGAGGTGGTATTTAGAGTTACTCTGTTAGTGTCTGAGGTGGTATTTAGAGTTACTCTGTTCTTAGTGTCTGAGGTGGTATTTAGAGTTACTCTGTTAGTGTCTGAGGTGGTATTCAGAGTTACTCTGTTCTTAGTGTCTGAGGTGGTATTTAGAGTTACTCTGTTAGTGTCTGAGGTGGTATTTAGAGTTACTCTGTTCTTAGTGTCTGAGGTGGTATTCAGAGTTACTCTGTTCTTAGTGTCTGAGGTGGTATTTAGAGTTACTCTGTTAGTGTCTGAGGTGGTATTTAGAGTTACCCTGTTAGTGTCTGAGGTGGTATTTAGAGTTACTCTGTTAGTGTCTGAGGTGGTATTTAGAGTTACTCTGTTAGTGTCTGAGGTGGTATTCAGAGTTACTCTGTTAGTGTCTGAGGTGGTATTTAGAGTTACTCTGTTAGTGTCTGAGGTGGTATTCAGAGTTACTCTGTTCTTAGTGTCTGAGGTGGTATTCAGAGTTACTCTGTTAGTGTCTGAGGTGGTATTCAGAGTTACTCTGTTAGTGTCTGAGGTGGTATTCAGAGTTACTCTGTTAGTGTCTGAGGTGGTATTTAGAGTTACTCTGTTCTTAGTGTCTGAGGTGGTATTTAGAGTTACTCTGTTAGTGTCTGAGGTGGTATTTAGAGTTACTCTGTTAGTGTCTGAGGTGGTATTCAGAGTTACTCTGTTAGTGTCTGAGGTGGTATTTAGAGTTACTCTGTTCTTAGTGTCTGAGGTGGTATTTAGAGTTACTCTGTTAGTGTCTGAGGTGGTATTTAGAGTTACTCTGTTAGTGTCTGAGGTGGTATTTAGAGTTACTCTGTTAGTGTCTGAGGTGGTATTCAGAGTTACTCTGTTCTTAGTGTCTGAGGTGGTATTTAGAGTTACTCTGTTAGTGTCTGAGGTGGTATTTAGAGTTACTCTGTTAGTGTCTGAGGTGGTATTCAGAGTTACTCTGTTCTTAGTGTCTGAGGTGGTATTTAGAGTTACTCTGTTCTTAGTGTCTGAGGTGGTATTTAGAGTTACTCTGTTAGTGTCTGAGGTGGTATTTAGAGTTACTCTGTTAGTGTCTGAGGTGGTATTCAGAGTTACTCTGTTAGTGTCTGAGGTGGTATTTAGAGTTACTCTGTTAGTGTCTGAGGTGGTATTTAGAGTTACTCTGTTAGTGTCTGAGGTGGTATTTAGAGTTACTCTGTTAGTGTCTGAGGTGGTATTCAGAGTTACTCTGTTAGTGTCTGAGGTGGTATTTAGAGTTACTCTGTTCTTAGTGTCTGAGGTGGTATTTAGAGTTACTCTGTTCTTAGTGTCTGAGGTGGTATTTAGAGTTACTCTGTTAGTGTCTGAGGTGTTATTCAGAGTTACTCTGTTAGTGTCTGAGGTGGTATTTAGAGTTACTCTGTTAGTGTCTGAGGTGGTATTCAGAGTTACTCTGTTAGTGTCTGAGGTGGTATTTAGAGTTACTCTGTTAGTGTCTGAGGTGGTATTTAGAGTTACTCTGTTCTTAGTGTCTGAGGTGGTATTTAGAGTTACTCTGTTAGTGTCTGAGGTGGTATTTAGAGTTACTCTGTTAGTGTCTGAGGTGGTATTTAGAGTTACTCTGTTAGTGTCTGAGGTGGTATTCAGAGTTACTCTGTTAGTGTCTGAGGTGGTATTTAGAGTTACTCTGTTAGTGTCTGAGGTGGTATTTAGAGTTACTCTGTTAGTGTCTGAGGTGGTATTCAGAGTTACTCTGTTAGTGTCTGAGGTGGTATTTAGAGTTACTCTGTTAGTGTCTGAGGTGGTATTCAGAGTTACTCTGTTAGTGTCTGAGGTGGTATTTAGAGTTACTCTGTTCTTAGTGTCTGAGGTGGTATTTAGAGTTACTCTGTTAGTGTCTGAGGTGGTATTTAGAGTTACTCTGTTAGTGTCTGAGGTGGTATTCAGAGTTACTCTGTTAGTGTCTGAGGTGGTATTCAGAGTTACTCTGTTCTTAGTGTCTGGGGTGGTATTCAGAGTTACTCTGTTCTTAGTGTCTGAGGTGGTATTCAGAGTTACTCTGTTAGTGTCTGAGGTGGTATTTAGAGTTACTCTGTTCTTAGTGTCTGAGGTGGTATTTAGAGTTACTCTGTTAGTGTCTGAGGTGTTATTTAGAGTTACTCTGTTCTTAGTGTCTGAGGTGGTATTCAGAGTTACTCTGTTAGTGTCTGAGGTGGTATTCAGAGTTACTCTGTTCTTAGTGTCTGGGGTGGTATTCAGAGTTACTCTGTTAGTGTCTGAGGTGGTATTTAGAGTTACTCTGTTAGTGTCTGAGGTGGTATTTAGAGTTACTCTGTTCTTAGTGTCTGAGGTGGTATTTAGAGTTACTCTGTTAGTGTCTGAGGTGGTATTCAGAGTTACTCTGTTCTTAGTGTCTGAGGTGGTATTTAGAGTTACTCTGTTAGTGTCTGAGGTGGTATTTAGAGTTACTCTGTTCTTAGTGTCTGAGGTGGTATTTAGAGTTACTCTGTTCTTAGTGTCTGAGGTGGTATTTAGAGTTACTCTGTTAGTGTCTGAGGTGGTATTCAGAGTTACTCTGTTCTTAGTGTCTGAGGTGGTATTTAGAGTTACTCTGTTAGTGTCTGAGGTGGTATTTAGAGTTACCCTGTTAGTGTCTGAGGTGGTATTTAGAGTTACTCTGTTAGTGTCTGAGGTGGTATTTAGAGTTACTCTGTTAGTGTCTGAGGTGGTATTCAGAGTTACTCTGTTAGTGTCTGAGGTGGTATTTAGAGTTACTCTGTTAGTGTCTGAGGTGGTATTCAGAGTTACTCTGTTCTTAGTGTCTGAGGTGGTATTCAGAGTTACTCTGTTAGTGTCTGAGGTGGTATTCAGAGTTACTCTGTTAGTGTCTGAGGTGGTATTCAGAGTTACTCTGTTAGTGTCTGAGGTGGTATTTAGAGTTACTCTGTTCTTAGTGTCTGAGGTGGTATTTAGAGTTACTCTGTTAGTGTCTGAGGTGGTATTTAGAGTTACTCTGTTAGTGTCTGAGGTGGTATTCAGAGTTACTCTGTTAGTGTCTGAGGTGGTATTTAGAGTTACTCTGTTCTTAGTGTCTGAGGTGGTATTTAGAGTTACTCTGTTAGTGTCTGAGGTGGTATTTAGAGTTACTCTGTTAGTGTCTGAGGTGGTATTTAGAGTTACTCTGTTAGTGTCTGAGGTGGTATTCAGAGTTACTCTGTTCTTAGTGTCTGAGGTGGTATTTAGAGTTACTCTGTTAGTGTCTGAGGTGGTATTTAGAGTTACTCTGTTAGTGTCTGAGGTGGTATTCAGAGTTACTCTGTTAGTGTCTGAGGTGGTATTCAGAGTTACTCTGTTCTTAGTGTCTGAGGTGGTATTCAGAGTTACTCTGTTAGTGTCTGAGGTGGTATTTAGAGTTACTCTGTTAGTGTCTGAGGTGGTATTCAGAGTTACTCTGTTCTTAGTGTCTGAGGTGGTATTTAGAGTTACTCTGTTCTTAGTGTCTGAGGTGGTATTTAGAGTTACTCTGTTAGTGTCTGAGGTGGTATTTAGAGTTACTCTGTTAGTGTCTGAGGTGGTATTCAGAGTTACTCTGTTAGTGTCTGAGGTGGTATTCAGAGTTACTCTGTTAGTGTCTGAGGTGGTATTTAGAGTTACTCTGTTCTTAGTGTCTGAGGTGGTATTTAGAGTTACTCTGTTCTTAGTGTCTGAGGTGGTATTTAGAGTTACTCTGTTAGTGTCTGAGGTGGTATTTAGAGTTACTCTGTTCTTAGTGTCTGAGGTGGTATTTAGAGTTACTCTGTTAGTGTCTAAGGTGGTATTTAGAGTTACTCTGTTCTTAGTGTCTGAGGTGGTATTTAGAGTTACTCTGTTAGTGTCTGAGGTGGTATTTAGAGTTACTCTGTTCTTAGTGTCTGAGGTGGTATTTAGAGTTACTCTGTTAGTGTCTAAGGTGGTATTTAGAGTTACTCTGTTAGTGTCTGAGGTGGTATTTAGAGTTACTCTGTTAGTGTCTGAGGTGGTATTCAGAGTTACTCTGTTAGTGTCTGAGGTGGTATTTAGAGTTACTCTGTTCTTAGTGTCTGAGGTGGTATTTAGAGTTACTCTGTTCTTAGTGTCTGAGGTGGTATTTAGAGTTACTCTGTTAGTGTCTGAGGTGGTATTTAGAGTTACTCTGTTAGTGTCTGAGGTGGTATTTAGAGTTACTCTGTTCTTAGTGTCTGAGGTGGTATTTAGAGTTACTCTGTTCTTAGTGTCTGAGGTGGTATTTAGAGTTACTCTGTTCTTAGTGTCTGAGGTGGTATTTAGAGTTACTCTGTTAGTGTCTGAGGTGGTATTTAGAGTTACTCTGTTCTTAGTGTCTGAGGTGGTATTTAGAGTTACTCTGTTAGTGTCTGAGGTGGTATTTAGAGTTACTCTGTTCTTAGTGTCTGAGGTGGTATTTAGAGTTACTCTGTTCTTAGTGTCTGAGGTGGTATTTAGAGTTACTCTGTTAGTGTCTGAGGTGGTATTTAGAGTTACTCTGTTCTTAGTGTCTGAGGTGGTATTTAGAGTTACTCTGTTAGTGTCTGAGGTGGTATTTAGAGTTACTCTGTTCTTAGTGTCTGAGGTGGTATTTAGAGTTACTCTGTTAGTGTCTGAGGTGGTATTCAGAGTTACTCTGTTAGTGTCTGAGGTGGTATTTAGAGTTACTCTGTTAGTGTCTGAGGTGGTATTTAGAGTTACTCTGTTCTTAGTGTCTGAGGTGGTATTTAGAGTTACTCTGTTAGTGTCTGAGGTGGTATTTAGAGTTACTCTGTTAGTGTCTGAGGTGGTATTCAGAGTTACTCTGTTCTTAGTGTCTGTAGTTACATGTGATTGTGTCCCACTGACCGTACCAGGGTTTATTTTTCTAAAACGGTGTTGCCAGGTCTCAGTGGGAAAGGTAACGTCCAGACTGTTGCTCACCTTAAAATCTGTCATATGGTTTTTGTCTGTTTATTCTCTAGACTCTAGTTTTTATGACATGTCCTGTACGGAGATAAAGAGCTATATTTGTTTTCTAAAATGTTTACCGGGTCAGTGTGGTAAGTGGCTCCTCATTACTTCAGACCAGAGGACGGTGGCATTTCAGACGGGCCCTGGTGTCACCGCTGAGCTTTCTATCAAAACTGTTTATATTTTTTTGTGTGTTGATTCTCAGTGTCTCTAGTTTCGTGAAGAAGACGACTGAGAAGATCAACACTCTCCAGATGAACTCTGACCTTTGGCCACGCCCCCCTGACCCTAAGGAGGGGGGTCACGGACATGTGGAGGCCCTAGCTACCACCGCACCGTTCCCAGAGGACGTTGACCACGAGTGAGTTGAGAGATTGGCTTGCTTTCCTGTTCTTGTACTGATCTATGCTATTGATTCTATATACAGTGCATTCAGAAAGTATTCAGACCCCTTGACTTTTTCCACATTTTCTTTTACGTTACAGCCTTATTCTAAAATTGATTAAAAAAATTAAAAATCCTGTTTTTGCTTTGTCATTATGGGGTATTGAGTGTAGCTTGATGAGAAAAAAAACAACAATTTTATCAATTTTAGAATAAGGCTGTAACGTAACAAAATGTGGAAAAAGTCAAGGGGTCTGAATACTTTCCGAAGGCACTGTACTATTTATTCTATGTACCATTGATTCTATAGTCTATATTCTATAGTCCGTCTTGGACAGCTTTAGATATTTCTGTGAAATGGACGCGCTGCCAGACCAAATGCTAGTCTTCCCCAATCCTGTTGTGTTTTACCCAGGGAGTGTCTGGACCGAGCCAACGCAGAGACTGGACTACAGGATCTGGTAACAGCTACAGAGAGAGCACTGTGAGTACAGAGAGAGCACTGTGAGTACAGAGAGGGCACTGTGAGTACAGAGAGAGCACTGTGAGTACAGAGAGAGCACGGTGAGTACAGAGAGAGCACGGTGAGTACAGAGAGAGCACGGTGAGTACAGAGAGAGCACGGTGAGTACAGAGAGAGCACTGTGAGTACAGAGAGAGCACTGTGAGTACAGAGAGGGCACTGTGAGTACAGAGAGAGCACGGTGAGTACAGAGAGAGCACGGTGAGTACAGAGAGAGCACGGTGAGTACAGAGAGAGCACTGTGAGTACAGAGAGAGCACTGTGAGTACAGAGAGAGCACTGTGAGTACAGAGAGAGCACTGTGAGTACAGAGAGAGCACGGTGAGTACAGAGAGAGCACGGTGAGTACAGAGAGCACGGTGAGTACAGAGAGAGCACGGTGAGTACAGAGAGAGCACTGTGAGTACAGAGAGAGCACTGTGAGTACAGAGAGAGCACTGTGAGTACAGAGCAACACTACTAACCTGTTTATTATGTATGTCTACGGATTGTCAAACATCATGACTGTACGGGACATGGTAATCCTAGACATATAACCCTCTAGGACATGGTAACCCTAGACATATAACCCTCTAGGACATGGTAACCCTAGACATATAACCCTCTAGGACATGGTAACCCTAGACATATAACCCTCTAGGACATGGTAACCCTAGACATATAACCCTCTAGGACATGGTAACCCTAGACATATAACCCTCTAGGACATGGTAACCCTAGACATATAACCCTCTAGGACATGGTAACCCTAGACATATAACCCTCTAGGACATGGTAACCCTAGACATATACCCCTCTAGGACATGGTAACCCTAGACATATACCCCTCTAGGACATGGTAACCCTAGACATATACCCCTCTAGGACTGCTGTTTCTATTTTCATGTCTTACAAATCAAAGATGTATAGCTAATCTTATATGTAATACCCTTTTTAAGTGAACAGGGTTTTTAATGTTCCATGTGTGGTACCCATCTTAGCTCTCAGATCCAGGATCCCTTGGTTCTGTTGGACCCAGCCTGTCTAAAAGAAACTCTACAGGAGTGGATCCCTGTGTTGGAGAGGGTTCTAGGGCCCGAGCTGGTTCTAGGTCTGGAAAAGCAGGGTCCAGCTGGTGAGGGTCACCCCAGTGTGGAGGAGATGAGAGGGGAGGAGACAGAACATGCTGCAAACAACCATCCAGAGGACGTTCAGTCCGAGACCCCTTCGAGCTCTCCTGAGGAACCGACAGAGGACGGCCAGGAGGAGGGGAGGAGAGGAGAGGATTCCCCACAGCAGAATGGAGGACAAGTGGACCTGAGCGAAGACCGGGACCACCACAGACCCGACGAGGCCTCCACTGAAGAGAACCTGAGGGTGCGGTCCCCCAAACCCCTCCCCTCAGACCTCCAGGCCCACCTTACCCAGCTGGCCACTCTGTACCTGGAGATGAGCTATTTTGGGGACCCTGTCGTCCAGAAAGACAGGGGTGTAGTAGGGGTCAATGCATTCTTGAGACGGTTCTTCTTCCTGCTGGACCAGGAGCGGGTGAGGAGGATGTGTCTACTCCGCTATGGGGACCAGCCTGAGGTCCACACCTCCTTCATGGAGGCCATGCTAGGTGTGTAGGACCGTTTCCATGGTACTGACACACTCACGCACACTCTCACACACACACACTCACACGCACACACACACACTATTAAAAGGCATTTTCTCACCTGACAGAGCTAACCCTAACCCAGTCAAGTAAGGTGGTGGAGGTGATCCAGAAAGGAGAGCTGCTCAAATCTCTACGCTGTCTCAGAGAACTACAACCCTGGAGCGCTCCGATGCTCCTCGCTCACCTGCACAGGTAGATAAACCCTCCTTCTACATTCTCCTCTCTCCTCTCCTCCTCTCTCTCCTCTCCTCTCTCCTCTTCCTCTATCTCCCTCCTCTCTCTCTCTCTCTCTCTCTCTCCCCCTCTCCTCTCTCCTCCCTCCTCTTCTCCACCCCTCTATCCTCCCTCATATCTCCCTCCTATCTCTAACCCTCTCCTCTCTCCCTCCTCTCTCTCTCTCGCTCTCTCTCTCTCTCCCCCTCTCCTCTCTCCTCTCTCCCCTCTCCCCCCGCCCTCCTCTCTCCTCCCCTTCCTCACACCTCACAGCTCCTAGCTCACCTGCACAGGTACACTCACCTCAATCACCTAGCTCTAACAGTCAACCACAGCTTCACCTAGCTTTAACAGTCAACCACATCTTCACCTAGCTTTAACAGTCAACCACATCTTTCCCTAGCTTTAACAGTCAACCACAGCTTTCCCTAGCTTTAACAGTCAACCACATCTTCACCTAGCTTTAACAGTCAACCACATCTTTACCTAGCTTTAACAGTCAACCACAGCTTTCCCTAGCTTTAACAGTCAACCACATCTTCACCTAGCTCTAACAGTCAACCACATCTTCACCTAGCTTTAACAGTCAACCACAGCTTTACCTAGCTTTCAACAGTCAACCACATCTTCACCTAGCTTTAACAGTCAACCACATCTTCACCTAGCCTTAACAGTCAACCACAGCTTCACCTAGCTTCATCTAGAAATCTCTTAAGCTTCCTTAGCATCATAATGTCCTACAGTACGTCTCGCTCGTCTCTAGTTCACAATAACATTCTCTAATCACCTTCCTCTCCTCTTTTTATATAGGTTGTATGAGAAGCATGGAGAGCTGGCGGTTCGCTCCTTCAACCAGTTCTATCCCACAATCCTCCCCTCTGACATCACAGCCATGGCCAAACGTAGCCACTTCCTGGCTTACCTGGACAACCTTGTCCAATCACGGGCCGAGGAACAAAGGTAGGTTTACACTAAACCATGAAGTACAATGTTTTCTAGATCCTTCTCTCCATTTAAAGAGGTAATGAATGTATCAATATGAATACATGTAGGTCGTGTTCATTAGGGTACAAAACAGAAAACATTTTATAACTTTTTACAACAGGAAATGATTTACTGAACTAGTCAAATCCAGGTTATCCCTCTGTGCTTTTGAGTCTCCCGAGTGGCGCAGTGGTCTAAGAGATCTAGAGATCCTGGTTCGAATCCAGGCTCTGTCGTAGCCGGCCGCGACCGGGAGGGGAGGGAATGGCCGGCAGGGATGTAGCTCAGTTGGTAGACAATGGCGTTTGCAACGCCAGGGTTGTGGGTTGCAAAAAAATCTTCTGGGCCAGTATGAAAAATAAAATAAAATAATGTATGCACTCACTAACTGTAAGTCGCTCTGGATAAGAGCGTCTGCTAAATGACTTAAATGTAAAATGTAAATGTGCTTCAGTCCATTCTCTTATCCAGAGCTTCACCTTCTCTCCCTTAGACTGTCGTTCCTGGGGTCCCTCCTCCAACCAGAGACACTGCGACAGGATTGGCTGGAGCTGGCCCTTACCCACGATGCACCTCAACAGAGTGACACACTGACCACAGATGGACAACCAAGATGGCACTCCCATTTCTTCAGCTGGGGTTATGGTCGTCTCTTATCCCTACTGATCCGCCTTCCAGCTGACCTGGCCTCCAAACAGAAGATGGCTGAGACATGCAGGAGCCACGGGTAAAGACCATATATATATATATATACTACCAGTCAAAAGTTTGGACTTTCCTACTCATTCAAGGGTTTTTCCTTTATTTTTACTATTTTCTACATTGTAGAATAATAGTGAAGACATCAAAACTATGAAATAACACAAATGGAATCATGTAGTAACCAAAAAAGTGTTAAACAAATCAAAATATATTTTATATTTGAAATTCTTCAATTAGCCACCCTTTGCCTTGATGACAGCTTTGCACACTCTTGGCATTCTCTCAACCAGCTTCATCTGGAATGCTTTTCCAACAGTCTTGAAGGAGTTCCCACATATGCTGAGCACTTGTTGGCTGCTTTTCCTTCAATCTGCGGTCCAACTCAGCCCAAACCATCTCAATTGGATTGAGAATGCCAAGCGTGTGCAAAGCTGTCATCAAGGCAAAGGGTGGCTATTTGAAGAATCTCAAATATAAAATATATTTTGATTTGTTTAACACTTTTTTTGGTTACTACATGATTCCATATGTGTTATTTCATAGTTTTGATGTCTTCACTATTATTCTACAATGTAGAAAATAGTAAAAATAAAGAAAAACCCTGGAATTAGTAGGTGTGTCCAAACTTTTGACTCGTACTGTATATATATATATATATATATCATGTGTGTATACTTGATTTCTGCCAGAGGGGGGCGATATCATGTCACCATTAATACAGGCTAATGTTTGTCATGTGTACCTGTGTTGTTAGGACTGTTATAATGACTGTGTTCTCTGTGCAGCTACTGGACTGGCTATGTGTACCTGTGCTGTGAGCTCCAGCGTCGGACAGAGGCTTTCTCTACCATCTGTAGACTGGATGACATGAGTCTGCTGGAGGAACCCAATGGTAATGACTGTCATAATAATCATTTGAATGAAGAAGGGATTAGCCTCTCAATGTGCCACTACTACGGTTTAATAAATACTGGTCCACATGATCACAACCCTGAATGCTCTTATTTCTCTCTCTCTCTAACTCTTTCTCTCTCTAACTCTCTCCTTGTGTGATTCTCAGGCATGGTGCCTCAGACCATGGATGAGTGGAAGATGCTTCTCCAGCTGTCTCAGCAGTGTAGTAACAGCAGACCGTCTAACCATATTCCAGCCCCGGCTCCTACCCCCTCCCCGGCTCCTTCCCCCAACACAACCAACCTGACCCTAACCCCATCCCCAGCTCCTACCCCATCCCCGGCTCCTACCCCATCCCCGGCTCCTACCCCCTCCCAGACTCCTACCCCCTCCCCGGCTCCTACCCCCTCCCCGGCTCCTACCCCCTCCCCGGCTCCTACCCCATCCCCGACTCCTACCCCCTCCCCGGCTCCTACCCCCTCCCCGACTCCTACCCCCTCCCCGGCTCCTACCCCCTCCCTGGCCCTAGCCTCCAACGGGACCAGCCCCAGCCTAACCAACGGTGGCTCTGCAGCCGACCGTATCCAGACAGAGGTGACTCCAGAGAACCTGGTCCTGTGTCTGGCCAGGGCTGTGGGCCCCGACCGGGCCCTGGGGGCCCTACAGGAGGTGGGGCTGCAGTCGGACATGGAGCTGGGGCCACACTCCACCCTGGTCTGTGAGCTGCTCCGTGTGGCTGAGAAGAGACAGAGGTGATGGATGATACCAGGGACTATGATACCAGATACCAGGGACTATGATACCAGATACCAGGGACTATGATACCAGATACCAGGGATTATGATACTATGATACCAGATACCAGGGACTATTATACCAGATACCAGGGACTATGATACCAGGGACTAAGTTCAACTAGTTAAAAAGGCAATGTCATTGATTGATATCATAACAATCATCCCCTAGACAATACACTATATATATACACTACCGTTCAAAAGTTTGTGGTCACTTAGAAATGTCCTTGTTTTCGAAAGAAAAGCAATTGTTTTTGTCCATTTAAAATAACGTTTTTTTTAGAAAGAGGAGTGGTAGGCCACGGTGCACAACTGAGCAAGAGGACAAATACATTAGTGTCTAGTTTGAGAAACAGACGCCCCACAGGTCCTCAACTGGCAGCTTCATTAAATAGTACCCTCAAAACACCAGTCTCAACGTCAACAGTGAAGAGGCGACTCCGGGATGCTGACCTTCTAGGCATAGTTGCAAAGAAAAAGCCATATCTCAGACTGGCCCAAAAAAAGAAAATATTAAGATGGGCAGTCTGAGATATGGCTTTTTCTTTGCAACTCTGCCTAGAAGGTCAGCATTCCGGAGTCGCCTCTTCACTGTTGATGTTGAGACTGGTGTTTTGCGGGTACTATTTAATGAAGCTGCCAGTTGAGGACCTGTGAGGCGGTCAGAAATGTATCTCATTGAATAGCCTTCATTTCTCAGAACAAGAATAGACTGACGAGTTTCAGAAGACAGTTATTTGTTTCTGGCCATTTTGAGCCTGTAATCGAACCCACAATTGCTGATGCTCCAGATACTCAACTAGTCTCAAGAAGGCCAGTTGTATTGCTTCTTTAATCAGCACAACAGTTTTCAGCTGTGCTAACATAATTGCAAAAGGGTTTTCTAATGATCAATTAGCCTTTTAAAATGATAAACTTGGATTAGCAAACACAACGTGCCATTGGAACACAGGACTGATGGTTGCTGATAATGGGCCTCTGTACGCCTATGTAGATATTCCATTAAAAATCAGCCGTTTCCAGCTACAATAGCCATTTACAACATTAACAATGTCTACACTGTATTTCTGATCAATTTGATGTTATTTTAATGAACGAAAAAATTGATTTTCTTTCGAAAACAAGGACATTTCTAAGTGACCCCAAACTTTTGAACGGTAGTGTAGATATTACAATATTTGAACACGTATGATACTAATGTTCCTCTCTTTCTCCTGTCTACCCCAGGGCTCTGATCCAGACCATGCTGGAGCGCTGTGATCGCTTCCTCTGGTCCCAGCATGCTTAGCAAGACAACACCAACCAACGCGCCTAGCGGCTCATCAAATCAAATTGTATTTGTCACATGCGCCGAATACAACAGGTGTAGACCTTACAGTGAAACGCTTACTTACAAGCCCTTAACCAACAATGCAGTTTTAAGAAAAATAAGTGTTAAGTAAAAAATAGATAAATAAAAAATTATTATTAAAGAGCAGCAGTAAAATAACAGTAGCGAGGCTATATACAGGGGGTACCGGTACAGAGTCAATGTGAAATAACAGTAGGGAGGCTATATACAGGCGGTACCGGTACAGAGTCAATGTGCTGGGGCACCGGTTAGTCAACCAACGCCATTCAGCATAACTAGTATGGACAACTGCTATGGGGGGCAGTGTTAGGGTCAATTTCAATTCAGAAAACGGAAATTCAAATTCCAGTTATCCACATTGAAAAGCAATTTTAATTGACTGAATTGAAATGCAATTGACCCCAGCCCTGATCTGATCCAGAGCCATCTGAAACAAGTTAAATTACCCTTAATGTGACAATAATGCTTACTAACTTACTAATTATTTATGTTGAACCATTCCTGACTACTTTTTAAACTGGGCCCTAATCATTTTATGTTGAACCATTCCTGAGAGTTCCACTCCGCACCAACATTCTAGAATGCCCTGATACAGTCAAGAAAGACCACTGTATTTAAGTTGTCATATTTTATAGGTTGCCAAAAACCCTGCCTCACAGAAGAAATATGGGATTCATCTATAAATGACCTAAAAGTATTGTTTTTTTGAATGTAATGTCCTCAGATGCGTCTCAATCCTGATGATGGTGTATCTGATTAACTTTGTTATTAACGCCAGTTCCTCCTTGGGTCAAAACTGTACTGCAACATGGCTATAGAGCACCAGAATGAATCGTGTGAAGATAATTGTGAAAAATATTATTTTATTAAAAATGCTCTAATCTATTAATATAATATTTAATGTGAATAATAAAAAAATATGATGATGATCTGATCAACGGACTGTTATTATTACAAATCAAACTTTATTTAAAGAGCGCTTAATAATGGGAGAAAGGCTTACTCCCTCCAGGATAAATGGGTGTTTTCATGTTGCTGTGTGTGGAACAAGTGAAGGGACGCATGCAGCGTGTCTCTCGTGCAAGCGGGTGAAGTTGTTGTGTTGCTAGTGCTGTCATTAGAGATAGTATTAATAACGCTGGAATGAAATGAGCCTTAGTTTTTCTCCTGAGACGGTGCGTGATACATTCACACCTGGAACATCAAAAAGAGATACAACTGGGAGGAACGAGCGAGAGAGAAAGTACAGAAAAGTTGTTGGTGTGTCTTGATGTGCTTCTAAAAGAGCCAAAATTAACATTACAAAAAAAAAAATGTCTCAAAAATAAAACATTCCATTTTCAACTGAACAAATTTGATTGCCTCAAAAATGAGCTAGCTCTTCCAAAAACAGTCCTCGTATTTCTCCCCTCCTTCCTCCTCATATTATCTCCCCTCGCTCATCTCCTATCTCCTCCGGTCCTTTCTTGCCCACCTGGTCGTGTCATTGGACGCCCCTGGCTTAGTGACAATCAGATTCAAAGGATTCGGCACGGGGCAGAGCCACTGAAGAAACTGACAGTGTTAGAACAGAGAGACGGACAGCTGGGCCTTTTTAATTGAAAACTGTGGAATAATATGGATGATGTCACCGTTTTACATTCCATGCTGTTTATCCTGATTGGAACTACAGCTGCCTTTTTCAGAGAGTCAAATCAGCCTCTAGAATTATTGCTTCATGATTCTTTGTTATAGTATGTGGGATTCATAGCTAGCTATTACATGCAGATGATGTATTAGAAGACTACTGCTCCTTTGGCCATTTTTAAGTCATTCTCTTAAGACAAGAATGTCATTCATACCCCATTAATGAATCCAGAGACAAAATATATTTTATAGCCTCTAATGAACACATGGCTTTGGTGCCTTCATCTGACAGATCTGTGGGACCTGTATAATCTGGAGGACAAATACTGGTGCTTGAGGAAACTTTATGAGGATTTGTTTTTAATGCAGGCATCTTTAACAACTGGTCCTTCAGTACGTAATGTCAGTGTTGTTCATGACATAAAGAAACTCCATTTTTTATGGATGGTAACGATTTTTCAAAAAGTACAGTAGATGAATTCTAACTATTTACTCAATAGAAAAATGGTTGATGCTGAGAAGAATCTATGTACGCTCTCGGATTGCAATGAGAGTTTCAAATGGTTCCGAACGAGGTTTGATATGAAAGGTTATGAGGTCAACAAGACCGAGAGAGAGTTGTGTGTGTGTTTGATGTTGACAGGCTGTCACCAGACACACTGATAAGTGGATTCTGCACATTCCTAATGACCCTGCTGACCACAAACGCACACGCACACACACACACACCTGTTGACTGTGCTGCCAGGGTATAAAAGAGTCAACCTCACCTGCGTAGCGCAGACATTGCCCCACACACACACACCGTTGATTACCACTCAAGATGCTTAGCAGCACCCTATAAGGGACAATTATTAATTTGGGCTCTCATAAACATGCCTTTAAGTCTTTATTGTAATAAATGACAGCCGTTTCAAATCACCAGCACCTTCAAATGAACACTGGTTGATACCTAATTCTTACCTTACTTCTTTTGAAGACCTGGACTCACAGATAGATGGACACGCCACCCATGGTAAGGATTCCTTTTTTTATATGGCTGGAGGTCACCCGCCCAATATAAATGGATGTGACAGTGTACCATCTCTATGTTGATCTTATGACAGAGTGTAAGATGTGGTTCTGGGTTCCCAGATGACCTCTATGTCATTGTTTGCGTTACATGTAGTAACTTACTACATTTGCACACACTGTGTATAGCTTTTCTATTTTCTATTGTGTTTTTGACTGTACGTTTTTGTTTATTCCATATGTAACTATGTAACTGTTGTTGTTTTTATCGCACTGCTTTGCTTTATCTTGGCCGGGTCGCAGTTGTGAATGAGAACTTGTTATCAACTGGCTTACCTGGTTAAATAAAGGTGAAATAAAGGTAAAATAAAATAAATGTCTTGTTGTAGGGTCTCTTGCTTATTCTGGCTCTACCCCTGCTCTGCTGTCTACCTCACCCAGCCACACCGACCGGGCTAGCGCACAACGGCTCAGGTACACTGGCCTGTGTGTTAAATGACCTGTTAAGAACACTTTCTATTGTCATGAGATTATTATACATTTAAAAGGGGGTCATCCCTGTTTATTATCGTTGGATCATATTGGATTACCTGTTGTATTATTAAAGGAATTGTTGGGAACCGATGATGTTGTCCAACATGATAAAGGGTAGTGTCCTGTTTCACATCAGTTATCATTGATCAGTGTCGTAAACTAGGTTTCCATCCAAATAGCGACAGATTTTCATGCGAATATTCTAAAATCCACATGAAGAAAATATGCATTTTCCCACCAGTGGACCAAATGGACTTAATGCTGATTTTTAAAAAAATTATTGTGTGGTAACATATTGCACACAAACTCATTTTCCGCTTAAGTTTTCAAGTACGGAATAAAAATCTAAAATTCAATGTGTGATTGCATTGCATTTTCCACTCTACGGACACCGAAACTGTTGCGTTAAAGAGAAAATGAGCCCCCGCTCTGGTTTTGGCAGATGCGCTCGGTTAGTTTACAAGAGATTGTTATGGATAAGAGCGACGATAAAATTGTATTTGTCAAGCATCGATCATCACGTCACCAAAATAAAACCCTCGATATTTATTGGAAAGGGGCATCAAGCTCACAACCTTGCACTTTCGCCACCCTGAGAAGCAGTAAGAGGACCACACAGCTGGCTGCCACACATGTCAATGCGTGACTCCAAATGTGTACTTTGCCGCGCATTAAAAAGGGTTGGATGGAAACCTGGTTAGAGAGAGTTTTCTGGAACATTTTGTATCTTAAAAAAATGTATGCACTCACTATACTATAAGTGTGGCGATATGCTATTAAGGTCATTACACATATGCGCCGGCCAGGTGGTGTAGCACTTGAGTACCAATCGCTATCATTGTTAAGAGTATTGGAATGCACACGGACACACGTTGAGCGCAGCTGCCTGCCTGTTACACCACGCTCTGGGTTAGTAATAAAGTACTCAGATTATAAAGTGCTACTCCCTCACTCATTCCAATGCATAAAGAGTTCCACGGGTTATTACAATAAGTAATTTTGGATAAAAGTGACGTGTATTGTATAATCTCCAGGGGTTCCATACCTGAGCTCTACGTTGGTAGAGGAGGCTCTGAAAAGGGCTTTAGAACGAACTAATGCTGCCTACGCCCACACCAACGAGAGGTGAGTCAATAGAAGAAGACTATCCTCAGTCAATTGCTCAGATTATTTATGAAAAGCCATTTCGATGTCTATGAAAAGAGAAATGCTATTTACCAATTATGGTCTTGGCCTGCCTGTCTGTCCATCTGCTTGTCTGTCTGTCTGATAATATGGGCACTATCCTCTGTCCTTCCAGAGTGAAGACATCTCTATCGGAGGGTGCTCTGAGACCCAGCGACCTACTAGCCCAGTTCAAACAGATCGGCCCCCAGACCAGGAGCCACATCAAGGCTGCCGAGCTGCTGGACAATACAGTGGAACTGATCAGAGAGATGGTCTACACCAGTACAATGCCCCAGTCCAGTCTACCTGGTACTGTCTAACCCATGGCCCAGTCCAGTCTACCTGGTACTGTCTAACCCATGGCCCAGTCCAGTCTACCTGGTACTGTCTAACCCATGGCCCAGTCCAGTCTTCTAGTACTATCTAACCCTAACCCATGGCCCAGTCCAGTCTACCTGGTACTGTCTAACCCATGGCCCAGTCCAGCCTACCTGGTACTGTCTAACCCATGGTCCAGTCCAGTCTACCTGGTACTGTCTAACCCATGGCCCAGTCCAGTCTACCTGGTACTGTCTAACCCATGGCCCAGTCCAGTCTACCTGGTACTGTCTAACCCATGGCCCAGTCCAGCCTACCTGGTACTGTCTAACCCATGGTCCAGTCCAGTCTACCTGGTACTGTCTAACCCATTCCCCAGTCCAGTCTACCTGGTACTGTCTAACCCATGGCCCAGTCCAGTCTACCTGGTACTGTCTAACCCATGGCCCAGTCCAGTCTTCTAGTACTATCTAACCCTAACCCATGGCCCAGTCCAGTCTACCTGGTACTGTCTAACCCATGGCCCAGTCCAGTCTACCTGGTACTGTCTAACCCATTCCCCAGTCCAGTCTACCTGGTACTGTCTAACCCATGGCCCAGTCCAGTCTACCTGGTACTGTCTAACCCATGGCCCAGTCCAGCCTACCTGTACCTAACCATGGCCCAGTCCATCTACTCTAGTACGGTCTAACCTTAACCCATGGCCCAGTCCAGCATACCTGGTACTGTCTAACCCATGGCCCAGTCCAGTCTACCTGGTACTGTCTAACCTTAACCCATGGCCCAGTCCAGTCTACCTGGTACTGTCTAACCCATGGCCCAGTCCAGTCTACCTGGTACTGTCTAACCCATGGCCCAGTCCAGTCTACCTGGTACTGTCTAACCCATGGCCCAGTCCAGTCTACATGGTACTGTCTAACCTATGGCCCAGTCCAGTCTACCTGGTACTGTCTAACCTTAACCCATGGCCCAGTCCAGTCTACCTGGTGCTCTTTAACCCATGGCCCAGTCCAGTCTACCTGGTGCTCTTTAACCCATGGCCCAGTCCAGTCTACCTGGTACTGTCTAACCCATGGCCCAGTCCAGCCCACCTGGTACTGTCTAACCCATGGCCCAGTCCAGTCTACCTGGTACTGTCTAACCCATGGCCCAGTCCAGCCCACCTGGTACTGTCTAACCCATGGCCCAGTCCAGTCTACCTGGTACTGTCTAACCCATGGCCCAGTCCAGTCTACCTGGTACTGTCTAACCCATGGCCCAGTCCAGCCTACCTGGTACTGTCTAACCCATGGCCCAGTCCAGTCTACCTGGTACTGTCTAACCCATGGCCCAGTCCAGTCTACCTGGTACTGTCTAACCCATGGCCCAGTCCAGTCTACCTGGTACTCTTTAACCCTAACCCATGGCCCAGTCCAGTCTACCTGGTACTGTCTAACCCATGCCCCAGTCCAGTCTTCTAGTACTATCTAACCCATGGCCCAGTCCAGTCTTCTAGTACTATCTAACCCTAACCCATGGCCCAGTCCAGTCTACCTGGTACTGTCTAACCCATGGCCCAGTCCAGCCTACCTGGTACTGTCTAACCCATGGCCCAGTCCAGTCTACCTGGTACTGTCTAACCCATGGCCCAGTCCAGCCCACCTGGTACTGAACTATCATATTACACATATACTACAGAGCCGACCTGATCCGAGCCGCGCTGTGTTGGCCTTGTTACTCATCATAGTTGCTGTAACTATGTCGGAAAACACAGTATGGTTAGACTGAGCGGTACGGGTTTGGATTGTGTGTCAATCTCCCCCCAACAGACCTGTTGAGTGAGGAGGACATGCAGGTTCTCCTGCAGGCTTCAAGCTGTTCCTCGGAGATGCAGAGACCTCTCTGTAACAATTCGTTCACACTATACAACGGCATCGCGCGGTGAAACATCGGAAGCCATTCACTTTCGATGGAAGTAAAGAGAGAGAAGCGGAGTGGGCGGGGGAACCGTTGAGCGATGCGAGTTGGGCGAAGGAGCTGAACAGGGCGGGACTAAACTTTATGAAAATTCTCTGCGATATCGCAACGCGAGTGACCAATCGAAGCTCACCATAGCTTCCAACCCCTACTGGATTGGCTGTTAATGGCTGTTGATACGTTGCTTGCTAGCTTGTTAGCACCCATATGAGGGCGAGGCTATCATGGCTAGGAGAGGCCGCTTGCATAGTGTGAACGCTCTTTAAGACTGGCTGTCTGTCTCTCCCCTGTCCCTCCTCCCTTCTTCCCTCCCTCCATCCCTCCCTCTCTCTGTCCCTCCTTCCTCCCTCCTCCCTCCTCCCTCTCTCCCTCTCCTTCCTCTCTCCCTCTCCTCCCTCCCTCCCTCCCTCCCTCTGTCCCTCCATCCCTCCCTTCCCTCCCTCTGTCCCTCCATCCCTCCCTCTCTCCCTCCCTCTGTCCCTCCCTCCCTCCCTCGCTCCTTCCCTCCGTCCCTTCCTCCCACCATCCCTCCCTCTCTTTTTCCTCCTCCCTCCCTCCCTCCCTCCCCCCACCATCCCTCCCTCTCTTCTTTGTTCCTCCCTCCCTCCCTCCCTCCCTCTTTCCCTCCCTCCCTCTCTTCCATCCCTCCCTCCCTCCTCCCTCCCCCTCCCTCCCTCCCTCCCTCCCTCCCTCCCTCCCTCCCTAGCCCTCCCGTCCCTCCCTCCTCCCTCCCTCCCTCCCTCCCTCCCTCCCTCCCTCCCTCCCTCCCTCCCTCCCTCCTCCCTCCCTCCCTCCCTCCCTCCTCCCTTCCCTCCTCCTCCCTCCCATCCCTCCCTCCCACCCCTCCCTCCCTCCCTCTCTCCCTCCCTCCCTCCCTCCCTCCCTCCCTCCCTCGATCCTTCCCTCCGTCCCTTCCTCCCCACCATCCCTCCCTCTCTTTGTTCCTCCCTCCCTCCGTCCCCCAACAGACCTGTTGAGTGAGGAGGACATGCAGGTTCTACTGCAGGCTACAGGCTGTTCCTCTGAGATGCAGAGACCCCTCTGTAAGACTGGCTGTCTGTCTGAACGCTACCGCTCATTCACCGGGGAGTGCAACAACAGGTCTGTCTGTCTTATCTGTCGTACCCCTGCACATTGACTCGGTACTGGTACTACTTGTATATAGCCTCGATATTGTTATTTTATTGTGTTACTATTTCCAATTTTTTTGTTGCTTTTTTAAAAATGTACTTTTTAACTCTGCATTGTTGGAAAGGGCTCGCAAGTAAGCATTTCACGGTAAAGTCTACAACTGTTGTATTCGGTGCATGTGCCCAATACAATTTGATTTGATCTGTGTCTGTCTATCCATCTGCCTGTCTGCCTGTCTGTCTGCCTGTCTGCCTGACTGACTGCCTGTCTGTCTGCGTGTCTGCCTGTCTTCCTGTCTGTCTGTCTGTCTGTCTGTCTGCCTGTCTGTCTGTCTGAGTGCAGAGCTGTACTCTGCTGGTCTGGTTACACATGCTGGAAAGGACGATGTGAAAAGACAACATCCAGCTAGTAGGGTTCAGGTTGAAACTACAGTGTGAAAAGACAACATCCAGCTAGTAGGGTTCAGGTTGAAACTACAGTGTGAAAAGGAAATGAGTGTTTGATTTGACATGATTTGTAGTTTGTGTATGTCACCCACGTTGTCACCCCTCTCCAGACAGCACCCTAAGTGGGGTGCAGCCAACACCCCGTACTCCCGCTGGCTCCCCCCAGAGTACGAGGACGTCAGAGGGGTCCCTAGGGGCTGGGACCCTGAACACACCTACTATAACTACACCCTGCCCCCGGTAAGAGTCCTATAACTACACCCTGCCCCCGGTAAGAGTCCTATCTACTACACCCTGCCCCCGGTAAGAGTCCTATCTACTACACCCTGCCCCCGGTAAGAGTCATATAACTACACCCTGCCCCCGGTAAGAGTCCTATCTACTACACCCTGTCCCCGGTAAGAGTCCTATCTACTACACCCTGCCCCCGGTAAGAGTCCTATAACTACACCCTGCACCTGGTAAGAGTCCTATAACTACACCCTGCCCCCGGTAAGAGTCCTATAACTACACCCTGCCCCCGGTAAGAGTCCTATAACTACACCCTGCCCCCGGTAAGAGTCCTATAACTACACCCTGCCCCCGGTAAGAGTCCTATAACTATACCCTGCCCCCGGTAAGAGTCCTATCTACTACACCCTGTCCCCGGTAAGAGTCCTATCTACTACACCCTGCCCCAGGTAAGAGTCCTATCCTATCTACTACACCCTGCCCCCGGTAAGAGTCCTATCCAACTACTATACCCTGCACTGGTAAGAGTTCTATAATTACACCCTGCCCCCGGTAAGAGTCCTATCCTATCTACTACACCATGTCCCCGGTAAGAGTCCTATCCAACTATTATGCCCTGCACTGGTAAGAGTCCTATAATTACACCCTGCCCCCGGTAAGAGTCCTATCCAACTACTATACCCTGCCCCCAGAAAGAGTCCTACAATTACACCCTGCCCCAGGTAAGAGTCCTATCCTATCTACTACACCCTGCCCCCAGTAAGAGTCCTATCCAACTACTATACCCTACACTGGTAAGAGTCCTATAAATACACCCTGCCCCAGGTAAGAGTCCTATCATATCTACTACACCCTGCCCCCAGTAAGAGTCCTATCCTATCTACTACACCCTGCCCCCGGTAAGAGTCCTATAACTACACCCTGCCCCCGGTAAGAGTCCTATCTACTACACCCTGCCCCTGGTAAGAGTCCTATCTACTACACCCTGCCCCCGGTAAGAGTCCTATAACTACACCCTGCCCCCGGTAAGAGTCCTATCTACTACACCCTGTCCCCGGTAAGAGTCCTATCTACTACACCCTGCCCCCGGTAAGAGTCCTATAACTACACCCTGCACCCGGTAAGAGTCCTATAACAACACCCTGCCCCCGGTAAGAGTCCTATAACTACACCCTGCCCCAGGTAAGAGTCCTATCCTATCTACTACACCCTGCTCCGGTAAAAGTCCTATCCAACTACTATACCCTGCACTGGTAAGAGTCCTATAATTACACCCTGCCCCCGGTAAGAGTCCTATCCTATCTACTACACCATGCCCCCGGTAAGAGTCCTATCCAACTATTATGCCCTGCACTGGTAAGAGTCCTATAATTACACCCTGCCCCAGGTAAGAGTCCTATCCTATCTACTACACCCTGCCCCCGGTAAGAGTCCTATCCAACTACTATACCCTGCACTGGTAAGAGTCCTATAATTACACCCTGCCCCCGGTAAGAGTCCTATCCTATCTACTACACCCTGCCCCAGGTAAGAGTCCTATCCTATCTACTACACCCTGCCCCCCGGTAAGAGTCCTATCTACTACACCCTGTCCCCGGTAAGAGTCCTATCTACTACACCCTGCCCCAGGTAAGAGTCCTATCCTATCTACTACACCCTGCCCCCGGTAAGAGTCCTATAACTACACCCTGCCCCCGGTAAGAGTCCTATAACTACACCCTGCCCCGGTAAGAGTCCTATAACTACACCCTGCCCCCGGTAAGAGTCCTATAACTACACCCTGCCCCCGGTAAGAGTCCTATAACTACACCCTGCCCCCGTTAAGAGTCCTATAACTATACCCTGCCCCCGGGTAAGAGTCCTATCTACTACACCCTGTCCCCGGTAAGAGTCCTATCTACTACACCCTGCCCCAGGTAAGAGTCCTATCCTATCTACTACACCCTGCCCCCGGTAAGAGTCCTATAACTACACCCTGCCCCCGTTAAGAGTCCTATAACTATACCCTGCCCCCGGTAAGAGTCCTATCTACTACACCCTGCCCCAGGTAAGAGTCCTATCCTATCTACTACACCCTGCACACGGTAAGAGTCCTGTAACTCCACCCTGCACCCGGTAAGAGTCCTATAACTACACCCTGCTCCGGTAAAAGTCCTATCCAACTACTATACCCTGCACTGGTAAGAGTCCTATAATTACACCCTGCCCCCGGTAAGAGTCCTATCCTATCTACTACACCATGCCCCCGGTAAGAGTCCTATCCAACTATTATGCCCTGCACTGGTAAGAGTCCTATAATTACACCCTGCCCCAGGTAAGAGTCCTATCCTATCTACTACACCCTGCCCCCGGTAAGAGTCCTATCCAACTACTATACCCTGCACTGGTAAGAGTCCTATAATTACACCCTGCCCCCGGTAAGAGTCCTATCCTATCTACTACACCCTGCCCCAGGTAAGAGTCCTATCCTATCTACTACACCCTGCCCCCGGTAAGAGTCCTATCTACTACACCCTGTCCCCGGTAAGAGTCCTATCTACTACACCCTGCCCCAGGTAAGAGTCCTATCCTATCTACTACACCCTGCCCCCGGTAAGAGTCCTATAACTACACCCTGCCCCCGGTAAGAGTCCTATAACTACACCCTGCCCCGGTAAGAGTCCTATAACTACACCCTGCCCCCGGTAAGAGTCCTATAACTACACCCTGCCCCCGGTAAGAGTCCTATAACTACACCCTGCCCCCGTTAAGAGTCCTATAACTATACCCTGCCCCCGGTAAGAGTCCTATCTACTACACCCTGTCCCCGGTAAGAGTCCTATCTACTACACCCTGCCCCAGGTAAGAGTCCTATCCTATCTACTACACCCTGCCCCCGGTAAGAGTCCTATAACTACACCCTGCCCCCGTTAAGAGTCCTATAACTATACCCTGCCCCCGGTAAGAGTCCTATCTACTACACCCTGCCCCAGGTAAGAGTCCTATCCTATCTACTACACCCTGCACACGGTAAGAGTCCTGTAACTCCACCCTGCACCCGGTAAGAGTCCTATAACTACACCCTGCCCCCGGTAAGAGTCCTATAACTACACCCTGCCCCAGGTAAGAGTCCTATCCTATCTACTACACCCTGCCCCCGGTAAGAGTCCTATCCAACTACTATACCCTGCACTGGTAAGAGTCCTATAATTACACCCTGCCCCCGGTAGGAGTCCTATCCTATCTACTACACCCTGCTCCCTGTAAGAGTCCTATCCAACTATTATACCCTGCACTGGTAAGAGTCCTATAATTACACCTTGCCCCAGGTAAGAGTCCTATCCTATCTACTACACCCTGCCCCCGGTAAGAGTCCTATCCAACTACTATACCCTGCACTGGTAAGAGTCCTATAATTACACCCTGCCCCAGGTAAGAGTCCTATCCTATCTACTACACCCTGCCCCCGGTAAGAGTCCTTTCCAACTACTATACCCTGCACTGGTAAGAGTCCTATAATTACACCCTGCTCCAGGTAAGAGTCCTATCCTATCTACTACACCCTGCCCCCGGTAAGAGTCCTATCCAACTACTATGCCCTGCCCCCGGTAAGAGTCCTATAATTACACCCTGCCCCAGGTAAGAGTCCTATCCTATCTACTACACCCTGCCCCCGGTAAGAGTCCTATCCAACTACTATACCCTGCACTGGTAAGAGTCCTATAATTACACCCTGCCCCAGGTAAGAGTCCTATCCTATCTACTACACCCTGCCCCCGGTAAGAGTCCTATCCAACTACTATACCCTGCACTGGTAAGAGTCCTATAATTACACCCTGCTCCAGGTAAGAGTCCTATCCTATCTACTACACCCTGCCCCCGGTTAGAGTCCTATAATTACACCCTGCTCCCTCTCTCCTCCCTCCCCCTCTCTCCTCCCATCTCCATCTTTCCTTCCTCCTCCCTCTTCCCTCACCCTCTCTCCTCCCTCCTCCATCTCTCCTTCCTCCTTCCTCTCTCCTCCTCCTCCCTCTCTCCTCCCTCTCTCCTCCTCCCTCTCTCCTTCCTCTTCCCTCTTCTCTCCTCCTCCCTCCTCTCCTCCTCCCTCTCTCTTTCCTCCTCCCTCCTCAATCCTCCTCCCACCTCCCTCTCTCCTTCCTTCTCCCTCTCTACCTCCTTCTCCCTCTCTCCTCCCACCTCTCTCCAGGTGCGCCTGGTATCCCAGGATGTTCTATACACCCACAATGAGAACATCTCTCTGGACTCATCTCTGTCCCACCTGCTGGTGGAGTGGGGTCAGTGGATAGACCATGACTTCGCTCTGACCCCTCAGAGTCCTAGTACAGCTGCCTTCAGGACCGGGGCCGACTGCACCCGCACCTGCAGCCGGGACACTCCCTGCTTCCCTATACAGGTGAGACACTCCCTGCTTCCCTATACAGGTGAGACACTCCCTGCTTCCCTAGACAGGTGAGACACTCCCTGCTTCCCTATACAGGTGAGACACTCCCTGCTTCCCTATACAGGTGAGACACTCCCTGCTACGCTATACAGGTGAGACACTCCCTGCTTCCCTATACAGGTGAGACACTCCCTGCTTCCCTATACAGGTGAGACACTCCCTGCTTCCCTATACAGGTGAGACACTCCCTGCTTCCCTATACAGGTGTGACATCCCTGCTTCCCTATACAGGTGAGACACTCCCTGCTTCCCTATACAGGTGAGACACTCCTAGTAAAAAAATGAATAACAAATTAGCAACAGATAAGTCCAGAACAGAGCAACAGAGAAACAGCATACATACTGACAGTACAGAGAAACAGCATACATACTGACAGTACAGAGAAACAGCATACATACTGACAGTACAGAGAAACAGCATACATACTGACAGTACAGAGAAACAGCATACATACTGACAGTACAGAGAAACAGCATACATACTGACAGTACAGAGAAACAGCATACATACTGACAGTACAGAGAAACAGCATACATACTGACAGTACAGAGAAACAGCATACATACTGACAGTACAGAGAAACAGCATACATACTGACAGTACAGAGAAACAGCATACATACTGACAGTACAGAGAAACAGCATACATACTGACAGTACATTGACAAAAGCCATTAAGCAGGTGCACCTCTCCCTTACTATGGAAAGTGCTTTGAGCACCTGGTGGAAAAGCCAAGCGCTATATGAGTGCAATTATCTTCCCTGGCCACAACACTACCTGCTTCCCTTTACAGGTGAGGTACACCTGTCCGGCCCCGCCCTGTCATGTGACCCAGCTGGTTCTGTTTATGCTCCTTCCTTCTTTCTCTCACTCGTCGGTTTCTTTCTATCCATCTTCTCTCAGCACTGCAGTCCATATTCCTTTGATTTCCCCTCCTAACACTAACCCACCTTCCCATCCTAACACTAACCCACCTTCCCATCCTAACACTAAGCCACCTTCCCCTCCTAACACTAACCCACCTTCCCCTCCTAACACTAACCCACCTTCCCATCCTAACACTAACCCACCTTCCCATCCTAACACTAACCCACCTTCCCATCCTAACACTAAGCCACCTTCCCCTCCTAACACTAACCCACCTTCCCCTCCTAACACTAACCCACCTTCCCATCCTAACACTAACCCACCTTCCAATCCTAACACACTAAATGTAAGGGAGTGTACGTTATTTAGAAACTGTTCTTCGTCCTGTAAGCATCACATGGCAACATTACGTTATTTAGAAACTGTTCTTCGTCCTGTAAGCATCACATGGCAACATTACGTTATTTAGAAACTGTTCTTCGTCCTGTAAGCATCACATGGCAACATTACGTTATTTAGAAACTGTTCTTCGTCCTGTAAGCATTACATGGTAACATTGGGTTGGTTAGTGTTAGAGCTGCATGCCTTTCTTCCCCTCTCCCCAGATCCCGCTGTCAGACCCTCGTACCGGTATCCAGAGCTGCATGCCTTTCTTCCGCTCGGCACCCAGCTGTGTCGGGAGCGGAGCTTTCCCCGGGGCCACACCCCACCATCACCGGGAGCAACTGAACGCCATCACCTCATTCGTAGATGCCAGTATGGTATACGGTAGCTCCTCCCCCCTGGCCGCGGCCCTGAGGAACCACTCCTCTCCACTGGGTCTGCTTGCCCTCAATGACCAGGCCTCAGACCAGGGCCTCGGCTACTTGCCCTACCTGCCTCGCCTGCAGGGACGCCTGGATCCCTGTGGGCCACGAAGCGGGCCTGGGGCCAACACCACCGGAGCCACAAGTGCCTCTGAGACATCTGCTACTGCACCAACAGAACAGGAGAATATTACATCCTGTTTCCAAGCAGGTATGGCACAATCCATCAATCAATTAATCAATTAATCAATCTAATGTTTTTATAAAGCCCTTTTTGCATCAACTACTCTCACAAAGTGTTTTACACTAACAACCTAGTTATCTGCTGCTCTGAACTATGTGCCTAGATACAGTATATCCTGTATGCCCCGCCCACCTGAGGATCTGTCTTTTTCAGCAATCTATTTCCTGTGTTTGAGGGATTCGTAATCCACTTGTCACTTAAATCTCGCTGGATTTGATCGCTTTCATTTTACTCCTGTGACTCTTTCATACTCTTGCTTGTGCCTGATGTTTTTCCCCGTTACCGTTACCACCGCGGAAATGTTCGCAATGACCTGTCAAACACACCCCGGTATTTTTGTATTTGTGTTTATTATGGATCCCCATTAGTTCCTGCCGAGGCAGCAGCTACTCTTCCTGGGGGTCCAAACATATTAATGCACTTACATTACATATAAAACAAAATATAAAACAGTACTTCATATGACATTATTACACCACTACCTATCTACAATACAAAATGTTTAATACCATCATACAACAATATCACAACGTGTGCGTATGCATGTGTCTATACCCTTGTGTGTGTCTCTTCACAGTCCCCGTTGTTCCATAAGGTGTATTTCAGCCGGTAATGGCTGAAATGGGCTCTATGGAATGCATTGTCTTTCCTTTGAATCTAAAGCTTCGTCTAGGATTTAATGCACCGTCTCGACAAGTACATCACAAGAACGAAAAGAAAGATAAATGTGTTATGATGGGTGTTCATTTTTTGTGGAGTTGAAAAAAGCAATCATTTAATACAGTTGACATTTTTACAAATTAGATGCGCTGAAATGAAAGCAAACTTCTGAAAATGAACACTCGTATTATAGTGACATTATGTCACATCTCACAAACAATGTAAAGGATGTTTAGATAGGTGTCATCTCGAGCCAAGCCCGTTGACTTTTTATCAAAGGGTGTCCTGCTATTGACACACCTGTTGAATTATGCAAGAAAATGTGACAACAACAGTAATTAATGAGGCAGTCTTGACAGCGCAGGTGAGTGATGGTAGGGTAGACAGAGCAAGTGTTTGGTGCTTGCAGCCCTGTTCCACCCATTTATGTTAATTTAGTCATATATGCAAATAATCTAGTGCATTTATGCAAATGAGGCACACATAATTTTCTTTGTTTTAACACAAACTATTCAAAATCCCTGAACTCCATTCATTATTTGTCCATGCCAGTAAAATGTTTTATGTGCTATAATTCAGTCAATATCTGATGGATTATACAATTTCTAAAAGTTTGGAGGATCTTCATCCATTGTCAAACAGTTGTATTTGTTAGAAGTGTTTTAAAAACCTTTTAACAATTTCTATGACCGTTGCTAATGTACTGTAGCAGACCTCGGGTTAAACATCTAGCGGTTCCCATTAATAATAAGGCTTATTGTAAGACATTATAAAGGCTCATATACATTCTTAAAACAATTTAAGTAAAGTGTTGTCCAGTTGACTCACCAGGTACATAGTGTCCCTTCTAGTAATTGTATGTCTATGGGTCAAACTTCCTGTATTCTGTTGTCTAGGTGACTCACGGTCCAATGAGCACCTTGATAGCTCTTCCTTCTAGTAATTGTATGTCTATGGGTCAAACTTCCTGTATTCTGTTGTCTAGGTGACTCACGGGCCAATGAGCACCTTGATAGCTCTTCCTTCTAGTAATTGTATGTCTATGGGTCAAACTTCCTGTATTCTGTTGTCTAGGTGACTCACGGGCCAATGAGCACCTGGGGATGATAGCGCTCCACACATTGTTCCTGAGGGAACACAACAGATTGGTCAGAGAGCTGCACCTCCTCAACCCTCACTGGAGCCCAGACACCTTGTACCAGGAGGCCAGGAAGATCATGGGGGCTGTTCACCAGGTACACACACTATGGGTCTGTTTCCCAGACAGATGAAGCCTCCTCCAGGGTCTGGGGTCTAGGTGCTGTTTATTTAGCTTCCTATTCTTTCAAGTTTTATTAGTTGTATGTACGGGATACACCGTCCAATGAAATGCTTACTTGCAGGTTCCTTCTGTGTATGTACGGGATACACCGTCCAATGAAATGCTTACTTGCAGGTGTGTGTGTGTGTGTGTGTGCGTGTGTGTGTGTGTGTGTGTGTGTGTGTCAGAGTCAGAGCAGGTGGTCAGTCCGGTTCAAGTGTTCAGCAGTCTGATGGCTTGTAGATAGAAACTGTCTCTGAGCCTGTTGGTATCAGACCTCATGCTCCAGTACCGTCTGATGGCTTGTAGATAGAAACTGTCTCTGAGCCTGTTGGTATCAGACCTCATGCTCCGGTACAGTCTGATGGCTTGTAGATAGAAACTGTCTCTGAGCCTGTTGGTATCAGACCTCATGCTCCGGTACAGTCTGATGGCTTGTAGATAGAAACTGTCTCTGAGCCTGTTGGTATCAGACCTCATGCTCCGGTACAGTCTGATGGCTTGTAGATAGAAACTGTCTCTGAGCCTGTTGGTATCAGACCTCATGCTCCGGTACAGTCTGATGGCTTGTAGATAGAAACTGTCTCTGAGCCTGTTGGTATCAGACCTCATGCTCCGGTACCGTCTGGCTGACAGTAAGGGAGTGAACAGCTCGTGGCTGGGGTGTGGGGGGTCCTTGATGATGCTGCAGGACTTTCTCAGGCACTGTTTCTAGGAGATGTCCTGGATGGGGTGGGAACATGGTCCCAGTGATGTGGTCCTCTGTAGCTCAGCTGGTAGAGCACGGCGCTTGTAACGTCAAGATAGTGGGTTCGATCCCCGGGACCACCCATACACAAAAAAAAATGTATGCACGCATGACTGTAAGTCGCTTTGGATAAAAGCGTCTGCTAAATGGCATATTATTATTATTATTACTGGATGGGGTGGGAACATGGTCCCAGTGATGTACTGGATGGGGTGGGAACATGGTCCCAGTGATGTACTGGATGGGGTGGGAACATGGTCCCAGTGATGTCCTGGATGGGGTGGGAACATGGTCCCAGAGATGTCCTGGATGGGGTGGGAACATGGTCCCAGTGATGTACTGGATGGGGTGGGAACATGGTCCCAGAGATGTCCTGGATGGGGTGGGAACATGGTCCCAGTGATGTACTGGATGGGGTGGGAACATGGTCCCAGTGATGTACTGGATGGGGTGGGAACATGGTCCCAGTGATGTACTGGATGGGGTGGGAACATGGTCCCAGTGATGTACTGGGCCATCTTCACCACACGCTGGAGGTCCTTGCTGTTGTGGACGGAGCAATTCCTGTACCAGGCCGTGATGTAACTGGTCAGGACGCTCTCGATGGTGCAGCGGTAGTATTTGGAGAGGACCCGGGGTGGCATGCCAAATTTATTCAGCCACCTTAGGAAGTAGAGATGCTGTTGCGCCTCTTGACAAGAGTCGTGGTTTTGTTCTTCCACGTCATGTCCTCTGTAATGTGAACGCTGAGGAACTTAAAACGGCTGACTCTCTCTACTGCAGTCACGTTGATGTGGATCAGGGTGGATCCTATGTTTTCCTGAAGTCAATAATCAACTCCTTTGTTTTGCTGACGTTGAGGGAGAGGTTGTTGTCCTGGCACCACAACGCCAGTTCAATTACCTCCTCCCTATAGGCTGACTCGTCATTGTTGGTTCTCAGGCCGACGATGGAGTTTTGGTGTGGGTGCAGTCGTGCTTTCTATTGTATTGCAGTGGATCGATAGTCTCACCCCCCCCCCCCCCCCCCCCCCCCCCAATCTCCTCCTCCCCCAGATACTGACCTGGGAGCACTACCTGCCCAGGGTCCTGGGTGAGACCACCTCCTCCCTCCTGATGCCTCCGTACGGGGGCTACGACCCTGAGACTGACCCCAGCATCGCTAACGTCTTCTCAGCTGCTGCATTCCGCTTTGCCCACGTCACCGTGCAGCCGATGGTGGCCCGCCTTGGCCCCGGGTACAGCCTCGCCCCACAGCACCCACCTCTGCCCCTACACCACTCCCTTTTCGCATCCTGGAGGGTCGTACAGGAGGGTGAGACATTTTACATTAGGGCCAGTTTCCCGGACACAGATTAAGACTAGTCCTGGACTATAAAGCATTCTCAATAGAGATTCTCCATTGAAATAGGTTTTTTAGTCCAGCAGTAGGCTTAATGTGCTTGTATGTGTATTAAAAGTAGGAAAAAGTTAAGTATTTGGTCCAGAAATGAATGGTAAATAATGTATTGTGTCATTTTGGAGTCACTTTCATTGTAAATAAGAATAGAATATGTTTAATATGTTAAAGATACAATTATGGGCAAAAGACTCGCCGGCTTTAAAATAGGTATGAACGATCAGTTCCCAAAGGAAATCGCAGAACGACGCAAAGTGCCGTACCCACTCTTCAAAGACAATAGACTAAAAGGGAGACGTGTAGCTCTCGTAGTCGTGAAACTGTACATTGATAACCAACTGTTCAGAGACACCAAGACTACTCCATGGCTATTCTAAGTCAAATGGAACATCCAAAACTATTAATGGTAGGGATTGTAATAAAACATTTATAAACTGAAATAGTGAAATACAACAATTAATAAAGAATCTATAAATACACTATACTATTCAAGTTATGGAATGTTGTAAAATAATTTGTATTCTATTTTTTATGTTTAGTATTTAAAAATAGATAAAAGATAGGACAATTCATGAAATAATAAATCCAGGACACAAAAAGGCACAGTATGTGGGTACGGGTGTATGCTGTATGTCGGGGGAGTGCGGGTGTGTAGGAAGATGGGGTGTGTTTTGTGTGATTGGAAAAGTGTGATGAGTTAAGTGATTTTTTTTTTTTAATTATTATTATTATATATAATTTTTTTGTCATTTAGTTTGTTTATTTTAGTCGTATCATGATGGAACGGTGCCAACCCTATGTCCTAGACACCGACCTGAGCGACCCACCCACTAAGGAGAAGTCCTTATCCGTTTTAGTAGCCTATGCAGCCAAGGCAGAAAGGTGAACGCAAGCTTACAGGCAATACACGACTCCATTATTATGTTGGGAGATTATAATACGGTTTAAAGTACCTCAATGGACCCTAAAGGAAATCACACTACAAACTATCACCTTCATGCACTTAAGGAAATTATTAATATTATGGATATATTGGAACTAGTGGATATATGGAGGCTTAAATATCCTGACCTAGTGAGATATACATGGCGGACGCTCAATCAAGCTAGTCGTCTTGAATACTTTCTTATGGCATTCTCACTGGCACCAAAAGTTAAAAGTGTGTTGATAGGGGACAGAACGCTGTCGGACCATCAAATAATTGGTATACACATTACTCTTACAGAATTTCTGCAAGGGCGAGGATATTGGAAATTTTATCAAAGGCTACTGGATGACAAATTGTTTTTAACCAAGACAGAAGAATTTATAACTTACTTTTCCCTAGAGGCCATGCAATTCAATACTCATCTTTAAAACAAAAACAATTTAGGTCATCTTAAAAAAGGAAATAGAAGAACTAACAGTACAGATAGATAGATAGCAATAAAAACGATTCCATAGAGGCATAAATAAGTTAGAGGACAAAAATAAATGGAGGAACTTTTTCAAGAAATATCAAATGTAATATTTTATAAAAAATAAAGTGAACTGGATGGAATATGGGGGAAAATGCTATAAATGCTACCGTTAAAGAATTTACAGAAACGTGTTACAAATGACGGAGTCATCCATGATTCACCTATCTCTATTTTGAAAGAGGAAGCAAAGTACTTTAAGCACATGTTTTCATTTCAGTCTCCTCCATTTCCAGTAACTGAAGTTAATTGTAAGGATTTTTTTCTATTAATAGTGTAAAATTAACAGCTATACAGAATGACTCATGTGAAGGCCAAATTACAGAGGAGGAACTTCTAGATGCAATTAAAGCCTTCAAGTCCAGGAAAACTCCAGGGCTGGATGGAATGCCAGTTGAGGTATATCAAATATTTTTTGATGTACTCAAAGGTCGATTATTAACATGTTTCAACCACTCATATAAAAATGGTAGACTATCAGATACTCAGCAAGAAGGTCTGATTTAACTATTACTGAAACAGGACCCAGGTGGTAAATATAAAGATCCAGTCCACCTAAAAAACTGGAGACAACACTTTAGTGTTGTAATGCCAAAATCTTAGCAAAATGCATAGTGCATAGAATTAAAAAGGTATTGTGAGATATTATTAATCCTAATTAGACCGTTTTTTTTTTACATGGACGATACATTGGAGATAATATAAGACAAGTACAGGAAACAATAGAACACTATGAAAAATCTGGGAAACCAGGCCTGGTATTCATAGCTGGCCTTTGATAAAGTATGACTGGAATTTATATATAAATGCCTGGACTATTTTAATTTTGTAGAATCTCTTATACAACGGTTTAAAGTTATGTATAGTAACCACAGGTGTAAAATAGTAAATAATGGCTACTTCTCAGAAAGTTTTAAACTGTCAAGAGGAGTAAAACAAGGTTGTCCACTATCGGCATATCTATTTATTATAGCCATGGAAATGTTAGGTATTAAAATCAGATCCAATAATTTCCATAATATCAAGGGACTAGAAATCGAGGGCTTAAAAACAAAGGTGTCATTGTACGCTGACGATTCATATTTTCTTTAAAATCCCCAATTTGGATCCCTGCACAGCCTCATAGAGGATTTAGATAATTTTTTTACCTCTCTGGATTAAAACCGAATGATGATAAATGCACCATATTACGTATTGGATCTTTAACTTTTACATTACCGTGTAGTTTACCAATAAAATGGTCCGATGGTGAAGTGGACATGCTCGGTATTCATATCCCAAAAGAAAGAAATGACCTCACTGCAATACATTTTAATAGAAAGTTAGCCAAATTAGATATGATTTTACTACCATTGGAAGGACAACACCTGTCTATTTGTGAAAAAATCACCCTGATTAATTCTTTATGGCCCTGCCTACACCTAACAACTTGGTTTTTTAAATATATGAGCAAGGTATATTCCACTTTATTTGGAACGGCAAGCCAGACAAAATTGAACAGGCCTATTTATATATTGAATATGTATTCGGAAGGGCAGAAATTATTAAATATTAAAGCACTGGACCTCTCACTAAAGGCTTCAGTCATACAAAAAATATACTTATATCCAAACTGGTTCTCCAGCAGATTAGTATGAATGTCTCACCCTGTGTTCCCTTCATTCATATTGCAACCTCTCACTTTCGGTTATTTGAAAATGAAATAATCTCCAAAATATCGCTATTTTTAAAACAAGCAATAGAAAGCTGGTTTCAATTTCAGTTTAATCGACCAGAAAAGACAGAACAAAAATTAGAACAAATATTATGGTTAAACTCCAATATACTAATTTAAAATAAAAAAGCATTATTTTGAGCGAAAAAAAATTACAATGGTATAATCTTTGTAAATTATATCATAAATAGGACTGGTGGAGTTAGGTCACACACAAACTTTTCAATTTAAATTATTATACAAAAGTCTTGCAGCCAATAGAATGTTATACAGTGCATTCGGAAAGTATTCAGACCCCTTTACTTTTTCCACATGTTGTTACGTTACAGTCTTATTCTAAAATGTCTTAAAATGTTGTTTTTTTCCTCATCAATCTACACACAATAACAAAGCAAAACCAGGTTTTTTATTCAAAATAAAAAATCGAAATATTACATTTACATAAGTATTCAGACCCTTTACTCAGTACTTTGTTGAAGCACCTTTGGCAGCGATTACAGGCTTGAGTCTTCTTGGGTATTCTCTCCCCCACCTCTCGGCCACCTCTCTCCTCTCTCCCCCCCCACCTCTCTCCCACCTCTCTCCCCTCTCTCCCCCACTTCTCTCCTCTCTCTCCCCCACCTCTCTCCTCTCTCTCCCCCACCTCTCTCCTCTCTCCCCTCCACCTCTCTCCCACCTCTCTCCTCTCTCTCCCCCACCTCTCTCCTCTCTCTCCCCCACCTCTCTCCCACCTCTCTCAGGTGGTATAGACCCAGTGCTGCGTGGCCTACTCCTCTCCCCAGCCAAGCTCCAGATGCCAGGCCAGATGATGGTTGAGGAGCTAACTGAAAGACTGTTCCAGGCCCAGGGTGGGATGCCACTAGACCTGGGAGCCCTCAACCTACAGCGGGGCCGAGACCACGGCCTGCCTGGTAATATTAGTACTATACTACTATACTATATTATTTAGACCACAGCTTGCCTGGTAATATTAGTACTATACTACTATACTATATTATTTAGACCACGGCTTGCCTGGTAATATTAGTACTATACTACTATACTATATTATTTAGACCACAGCCTGCCTGGTAATATTAGTACTATACTACTATACTATATTATATAGACCACGGCCTGCCTGGTAATATTAGTACTATACTACTATACTATATTATTTAGACCACAGCCTGCCTGGTAATATTAGTACTATACTACTATACTATATTATATAGACCACAGCCTGCCTGGTAATATTAGTACTATACTACTATACTATATTATTTAGACCACGGCCTGCCTGGTAATATTAGTACTATACTACTATACTATATTATTTAGACCACGGCCTGCCTGGTAATATTAGTACTATACTACTATACTATACTATATTATATACACCACAGCCTGCCTGGTAATATCAGTACTGTACTATATACTACTATACTATATTAGTACAGGCCTACCTGGTCCCTGCTGGTTATATTAAACAGTATAACAGTACTTACATTTACATTACATTTTTGTCATTTAGCAGACGCTCTTATCCAGAGCGACTTACTTATAGTATACACCTAAACTTACATGTTAGAAGACGGCCCAACTGGACTTATCCTTGTTCTCAAACTTACATGTTAGAAGACGGCCCAACTGGACTTATCCTTGTTCTCAAACGTACATGTTAGAAGACGGCCCAACTGGACTTATCTTTGTTCTCAAACTTACATGTTAGAAGACGGCCCAACTGGACTTATCCTTGTTCTCAAACGTACATGTTAGAAGACGGCCCAACTGGACTTATCCTTGTTCTCAAACTTACATGTTAGAAGACGGCCCAACTGGACTTATCCTTGTTCTCAAACGTACATGTTAGAAGACGGCCCAACTGGACTTATCCTTGTTCTCAAACGTACATGTTAGAAAATGGCCCAACTGGACTTATCCTTGTTCTCAAACGTACATGTTAGAAGATGGCCCAACTGGACTTATCCTTGTTCTCAAATTACATGTTAGAAAACGGCCCAACTGGACTTGTCCTTGTTCTCAAACTTACATGTTAGAAGACGGCCCAACTGGACTTATCCTTGTTCTCAAACTTACATGTTAGAAGACGGCCCAACTGGACTTATCCTTGTTCTCAAACTTACATGTTAGAAGATAGCCCAACTGGACTTATCCTTGTTCTCAAACGTACATGTTAGAAGACGGCCCAACTGGACTTATCCTTGTTCTCAAACGTACATGTTAGAAGATGGCCCAACTGGACTTATCCTTGTTCTCAAACGTACATGTTAGAAGACGGCCCAACTGGACTTATCCTTGTTCTCAAACGTACATGTTAGAAGACGGCCCAACTGGACTTATCCTTGTTCTCAAACTTACATGTTAGAAGACGGCCCAACTGGACTTATCCTTGTTCTCAAACTTGCATGTTAGAAGACGGCCCAACTGGACTTATCCTTGTTCTCAAACGTACATGTTAGAAGACGGCCCAACTGGACTTATCCTTGTTCTCAAACGTACATGTTAGAAGACGGCCCAACTGGACTTATCCTTGTTCTCAAACTTACATGTTAGAAGACGGCCCAACTGGACTTATCCTTGTTCTCAAACGTACATGTTAGAAAATGGCCCAACTGGACTTATCCTTGTTCTCAAACGTACATGTTAGAAGACGGCCCAACTGGACTTATCCTTGTTCTCAAACTTACATGTTAGAAGACGGCCCAACTGGACTTATCCTTGTTCTCAAACTTGCATGTTAGAAGACAGCCCAACTGGACTTATCCTTGTTCTCAAATGTACATGTTAGAAGACGGCCCAACTGGACTTATCCTTGAATCTCAAACTTACATGTTAGAAGACGGCCCAACTGGACTTATCCTTGTTCTCAAACTTACATGTTAGAAGACGGCCCAACTGGACTTATCCTTGTTCTCAAACTTACATGTTAGAAGACGGCCCAACTGGACTTATCCTTGTTGTTGTTTTAACTCCACTTCTTTTCTTCCTTCTCCTACTTCTTCTTCTACCCCTCCTCTTCTTCTTCTTCTACCCCTCCTCTTCTTCTTCTACCCCTCCTCTTCTTCTTCTACCCCTCCTCTTCTTCTTCTACCCCTCCTCTTCTTCTATCTACCCCTCCTCTTCTTCTATCTATCCCTCCTCTTCTTCTATCTACCCCTCCTCTTCTTCTATCTACCCCTCCTCTTCTTCTATCTACCCCTCCTCTTCTTCTTCTACCCCTCCTCTTCCTCTTCTACCCCTCCATCATTCTCTCCTCCCCTACCTCCTGCTCTACCAGGTTACAGCTCGTGGCGTGGGCTTTGTGGTCTCTCTGTTCCCAACACCACCTCTGACCTGGCAGGTAGATAGATAAACTGAATATTTGATCATTCAAAAAATACATTCCAGCCAAACTCATTGAGGATAACACACCGTTTTTAGGTTTTGACAACTTGTTTTCATGTTTGTATACACTGCACCACACTGCATTTAAAACCATGAAGGATAATATAGGACAAAAATGTGTTCCAACGTATTTCCATCATGGTCGTCTGACCTGGATACACTGCATTTGAAAATAGCACTAAAGGTTGTTCCAACATATTTCCATTGTGGTCGTCTGACCTCTGACCTGGCAGGTATCCTGAGTAACCCTGGTCTGGCTGAGAAGTTCCTGTTGTTGTACGGTACGTCCCAGAACATCGACGTATGGGTGGGGGCCATCTCAGAGCCTCCTCTACCTGGGGGCCGGGTGGGACCCCTCCTGGCCTGTCTACTGGCCAAGCAGTTCAGAGCACTGAGAGATGGAGACAGGTGAGATGAGATGGTGTTCCACTCTATTTGTCACGTGTAACAGTAAATCTTCCATCCCTGTTCTACCCCAAACTGGGCTCGAACCAGGGACCCTCTGCCCACAGCAACACTCGCAAAACAATGTCAAGGTGTTACAAGGTTGTGAAACGCAAACATGTAATAACAATTAGGCTGGGATTCTATCCGGTCACCCCTTTTTTCGCTATGCACCATTTAAAGGCATTGTTACCGCGGTCGCAGAGATCACATTCAAAGTAAATGCTGCAAATGCCGGCTCAATCGGGAAATTACCTTTAAAATGTCACCCGCGCTACAACGCGGATCGTCCGCGGGTCCGGATTGAGCCCTGGCCTTAGACAGGTTTGCAATATAAAATAGTTTGAATGAATATATTGTATATTGATCATTTCCAAAAATACATGAATCTCATGACTACATGGAGTACCATATACACTTAGCGGACAAAACATTAAGAACACCTGCTCTTTCCATGATATAGAATGACAGAGTGAATCCAGGTCAATGCTATTATCCCTTATTGATGTCGCTTGTTAAATCCACTTCAATCAGTGTAGATGAAGGGGAGGAGACAGGTTAAAGAAGGATTTTTAAGTCTTGAGACCATTGAGACATGGATTGTGTATGTGTGGCATTCAGAGGTTGAATGGGCAAGACAAAATATTTAAGTGCCTTTGAACGGGGTATGGTAATTGGTGCCAGGCGCACCGGTTTGAGTGTCAAGAACTGCAATGCGGCTGGGTTTTTCACGCTCAACAGTTTCCCATGTGTATCAAGAATGGTCCACCAAGCCAACTTGACACAAATGTGGGAACCATTGGAGTCAACATGGGCCAGCATCCCTGTGGAACGCTTTCAACAGCTTGTAGAGTCCATGCCCCCAACGAATTGAGGCTGTTCTGAGGGCAAAAGGGGGGTGCAACTCAATATTAGAAAGGTGTTCCTAATGTTTTGTACACTAAGTGTATGTCTGAGATATCTGCCCACCCAATGTGTCTGTTTGAATCGGCCCTACAGAATGTCTGCCTACCCAGCAACCTCTCCCCCTCTGTCAGGTTCTGGTGGGAGAGAGATGGTGTGTTCACCAGCACCCAGAGAGCTCACCTCCACACTGTGTCCTTATCCCGTATCATCTGTGACAACACACACATCACACGTGTTCCCTCCGACCCCTTCAGCCGTACGGTCAGCCCAGAAGACATGCTGGCCTGCAGCCACCCCCTCATCCCACACCTTAACCTCTCCGCCTGGAAGGAGCCCGACACAGGTACTGTTCTATTAACCCTAATGGAGTCGGTAAAGAAATCGAGCAACTCCTTGGTATGCAAGATACGTGTATTTCAGTAGATCAGGGATTCTGTGCAGAGCCTTGCTCAGGCCGGTCCTCTCCAACAGGCTGAAACTGTTGCTTATCATCTGACCTCCTCAGCTGTGGTCCAGTCCCCAGGTTACAGTCTACTCTACTGCGACCTCATCATCACTGTACTTACCGCCCCCCACTCCCTCCCTCCCTCCTTCCCTCCCTCCCTCCTTCCTCCCCTCCCTCCCTCCCTCCCTCCTTCCTCCTCCCTCCCGCCCTCCAGATCCCAGCTGCGTTCCAGTCCCCAGGTTACAGTCAGGCTACTCTACTGTGACCTCATCATCACTGTACTTACCTCCCCCCACCCACCCCCTCCCTCCCTCCCTCCCTCCCTCCCGCTCTCCAGATCCCCGTTGCTGTCCAGTCCCCAGGTTACAGTCAGGCTACTCTCTGCTCCCTCCCTCCAGATCCCCGTTGCGGTCCAGTCCCCAGGTTACAGTCAGGCTACTCTCTGCTCCCTCCCTCCAGATCCCCGTTGCGGTCCAGTCCCCAGGTTACAGTCAGGCTACTCTCTGCTCCCTCCCTCCAGATCCCAGCTGCGGTCCAGTCCCCAGGTTACAGTCAGGCTACTCTCTGCTCCCTCCCTCCAGATCCCCGTTGTGGTCCCGTCCCCAGGTTACAGTCAGGCTACTCTCTGCTCTGTGACTCCATCATCTACTACCAGTGTGGTCCAGGCTATCAGCTGATTGGTCCATCCTCTGTGACCTGTGACCCCAACAACTATCAGTGGAGTCCAGCTCCCCCAACCTGCCACGGTATGGAGTGGAGTGGGCTGGGGTGTTTGTGTGTGAGTGAGTGAGTGAGTGAGTGAGTGAGTGAGTGAGTGAGTGAGTGAGTGAGTGAGTGAGTGAGTGAGTGAGTGAGTGAGTGAGTGAGAGAGTGAGTGAGTGAGTGAGTGAGTGAGAGAGAGAGAGAGAGAGAGAGAGAGAGTTTAATTAAGTCACTACAGGCGACATGCATGTCTTTAGTTTAGTATTCTGACTGATTTGCTGTAGATGTCGATGAGTGTGCCGATCAGCCAAACCCGTGCCCCCAAAACATGGACTGCCTCAACACACCTGGGGCATATACGTGTACAGGTAGTCATTCTATACCTTCTATACCTTCTATACCTTCTATATCTTCTATACCTTCTATACATTCTATACCTTCTATATCTTCTATACCTTCTATACATTCTATACCTTCTATACATTCTATACCTTCTATATCTTCTATACCTTCTATATTTTCTATACATTCTATACCTTCTATACATTCTATACCTTCTATACATTCTATACCTTCTATACATTCTATACATCTGTTCATGTGTCTGACCATCTACAGACGGTAATCAATACTAATTTCTGACCATCTACAGACGTTAATCGATACTAAGGGCTCTATTCAATCCGTATCACGGAAGTCCAGCCGAGACTGAATTTACGGTAAATGCTGCATATGTCGGCTCAATCGGAAATGTACCTTTATATTTCGTAACGCTTCAGTGCTACGGATTGAATAGAGCCCCTTAATAAACATGCGAACCAGTGTAATTGTTCCTCTGTTTGTATGTTGTGTGTCCCAGAGCTGGACCTGTCCTCCTCCCATTCTGCAGTCTCAGTCATCTCTGCTGTTATAGCTGTGGTTGGGGGCATGGCCGTCATGTTTATGATACTGGCCTGTTGCAGAAGGTACGTCATCATAATGATGTCCAGGTGATAAAGGTCATTATAATGTATCAGGGTTTGGGGTCAATTTCATCATTTCCTTGTCAATTCAGGAAGTAAACTGATATTCAATGTCTTATTTACGTAATTGAAAAGTATATTTAAAATTGTTTTATTTAAATGAAATTGACCCCCAACCCTGGTAGATGTCACTTAACAAATGTTCATTAACATTTCAAAAACAGCATTTCTGTTTTTTGAATATTCTTGCAGGTATTTTCCAAAGAAGCCAGAACCGATAAACAGAACCGATAAACAGAACTGATAAACAGTGGTTGCTGTAAGAGGGACAGATAACCAAGCGACACCTCATACATATTTTATTACGTTTTAGTATTTTGTTTTAAAATGTGACATATATCCTAAAAGTATGCACTTGAATGTGTTGATATTAAACGTAACTTCAGATTATTTGTTAGACAATAACCTGAAAATAAGAAATAACTGAATTGTATAAATGTTGTTTTAAGATTAATAAAGTAACCCTGTTTTAGCCCACAGTCATGTTCTATGAACCTCAAAGGCCTGTTTTAGCCCACAGTCACGTTCTATGAACCTCAAAGGTCTGTTTTAGCCCACAGTCACGTTCTATGAACCTCAAAGGCCTGTTTTAGCCCACAGTCACGTTCTATGAACCTCAAAGGTCTGTTTTAGCCCACAGTCACGTTCTATGAACCTCAAAGGTCTGTTTTAGCCCACAGTCACATTCTATGAACCTCAAAGGCCTGTTTTAGCCCACAGTCACGTTCTATGAACCTCAAAGGTCTGTTTTAGCCCACAGTCACGTTCTATGAACCTCAAAGGCCTGTTTTAGCCCACAGTCACGCTATATAAACCTCAAAGGTCTGTTTTAGCCCACAGTCACATTATATAAACCTCAAAGGTCTGTTTTAGCCCACAGTCACATTATATAAACCTCAAAGGTCTGTTTTAGCCCACAGTCACGTTATATAAACCTCAAAGGTCTGTTTTAGCCCACAGTCACGTTATATAAACATCAAAGGTCTGTTTTAGCCCACAGTCACGTTCTATGAACCTCAAAGGTCTGTTTTAGCCCACAGTCACGCTATATAAACCTCAAAGGTCTGTTTTAGCCCACAGTCACGTTCTATGAACCTCAAAGGCCTGTTTTAGCCCACAGTCACGTTATATAAACCTCAAAGGTCTGTTTTAGCCCACAGTCACATTATATAAACCTCAAAGGTCTGTTTTAGCCCACAGTCACGTTATATAAACCTCAAAGGTCTCACTCAAAGTGCACAAAGTAATTAGCTTTTATTTGGTGCATATGTCAAGCCGTACAGGTCCAAAACTATTTGGACAGTGACACATTTTTGTTGTTGTTCTGTTTAGTGACAAAATGACACAATACATTATTTCTCATTCATTTCTATTGGCCACACAACCAAAACAAACAGCAAATGCATCCAACAAGTTTGAGTTACAAGCTTGATGTAATCATTGTGTGCTAGGAATATGGGACCAAATACTTAACTTTTTACTACTTTAATACACATATAAGTCAATTTGTCAAAATACTTTTGGTTGGTAATTTCTTAACGGTTTACCTGATATGGATGAAAATGCCCTCAAATTAAAAGCTGACAGTCTGCGCCTTATCTTTCAAATCCAAAGTGCTGGAGTACAGAGCCAAAACAAAACAAAATGTGTCGCTGTCCAAATCCTTTTGGACATCAGAGTATTTGTCTGTTCTAGTCAACGTGTTCGAAGCTCATAAACTTTAACAAGCTAACAGCATTAAAGGGCATTACAGTTTAAAATATATATATATATATATACAGTGGGGAAACAAAGTATTTTAGTCAGCCACCAATTGTGCAAGTTCTCCCACTTAAAAAGATGAGAGAGGCCTGTAATTTTCATCATAGGTACACGTCAACTATGACTGACAAATTGAGAACAAAAAAATCCAGAAAATCACATTGTAGGATTTTTAATGAATTTATTTGCAAATTATGGTGGAAAATAAGTATTTGGTCACCTACAAACAAGCAAGATTTCTGGCTCTCACAGACCTGTAACTTCTTCTTTAAGAGGCTCCTCTGTCCTCCACTCGTTACCTGTATTAATGGCACCTGTTTGAACTTGTTATCAGTATAAAAGACACCTGTCCACAACCTCAAACAGTCACACTACAAACTCCACTATGGCCAAGACCAAAGAGCTGTCAAAGGACACCAGAAGCAAAATTGTAGACCTGCACCAGGCTGAGAAGACTGAATCTGCAATAGGTAAGCAGCTTGGTTTGAATAAATCAACTGTGGGAGCAATTATTAGGAAATGGAAGACATACAAGACCACTGATAATCTCCCTCGATCTGGGGCTCCACGCAAGATCTCACCCCGTGGGGTCAAAATGATCACAAAAATCCCAGAACCACACGGGGGGACCTAGTGAATGACCTGCAGAGAGCTGGGACCAAAGTAACAAAGCCTACCATCAGTAACACACTACGCCGCCAGGGACTCAAATCCTGCAGTGCCAGACGTGTCCCCCTGCTTAAGCCAGTACATGTCCAGGCCCGTCTGAAGTTTGCTAGAGTGCATTTGGATGATCCAGAAGAGGATTGGGAGAATGTCATATGGTCAGATGAAACCAAAATATAACTTTTTGGTAAAAACTCAACTCGTCATGTTTGGAGGACAAAGAATGCTGAGTTGCATCCAAAGAACACCATACCTACTGTGAAGCAAGGGGGTGGAAACATCATGCTTTGGGGCTGTTTTTCTGCAAAGGGACCAGGACGACTGATCCGTGTAAAGGAAAGAATGAATGGGGCCATGTATCGTGAGATTTTGAGTGAAAACCTCCTTCCATCAGCAAGGGCATTGAAGATGAAACGTGGCTGGGTCTTTCAGCATGACAATGATCCCAAACACACCGCCCGGGCAACGAAGGAGTGGCTTCGTAAGAAGCATTTCAAGGTCCTGGAGTGGCCTAGCCAGTCTCCAGATCTCAACCCCATAGAAAATCTTTGGAGGGAGTTGAAAGTCCGTGTTGCCCAGCAACAGCCCCAAAACATCACTGCTCTAGAGGAGATCTGCATGGAGGAATGGGCCAAAATACCAGCAACAGTGTGTGAAAACCTTGTGAAGACTTACAGAAAACGTTTGACCTGTGTCATTGCCAACAAAGGGTATATAACAAAGTATTGAGAAACTTTTGTTATTGACCAAATACTTATTTTCCACCATAATTTGCAAATAAATTCATAAAAAATCCTACAATGTGATTTTCTGGATTTTTTTTTCTCATTTTGTCTGTCATAGTTGACGTGTACCTATGATGAATATTACAGGCCTCTCTCATCTTTTTAAGTGGGAGAACTGGTGGCTGACTAAATACTTTTTTCCCCCACTGTATATGTTTTATTTATTTTTTATTTTTTGTCTTATATTTTATTGTCATGTACACTGGATAGGTGCAGTGAAATGTGTTGTTTTACAGGGTCAGCCATAGTAGTACGGCGTCCCTGGAGCAAATTAGGGTTAAGTGCCTCGCTCAAGGACACAGACAGATTTTTCACCTTGTCCGCTCAGGTATTTGAACCAGTTAGTATCCGGAAGAAACAATTGTCCGGAACACTTGTTAAAAATCTTGGAACTCATGTCCCTGTTCAGTTCCTATAACAGCTTTCCTGACTGGGAATTCTGAGAGCGTCAGGTCGCATTCCAGGTCGACTATAAGCAGCATTTAATGGTTTGCGTGTCAGATTGCTACAGTTGAAGTCGGAAGTTTACATGCACTTAGGTTGGAGTCATTAAAACTCGTTTTTCAACCACTCACATTTCTTGTTAACAAACTATATTTTTGGCAAGTCGGTTAGGATATCTACTTTGTGCATGACACAAGTAATTTTTTCCAATTGTTTACAGACAGATTATCTAACTTATAATTCACTGTAGCACAATTCCAGTGGGTCAGAAATGTACATACGCTAAATTGACTGTGCCTTTAAACAGCTTGGAATATTCCAGAAAATGATGTGATGGCTTTAGAAGCTTCTGATAGGCTATTTGACATCATTTGAGTCAATTGGAGGTGTACCTGTGGATGTATTTCAAGGCCTACCTTCAAACTCAGTACCTCTTTGCTTGACATCATGAGAAAATCAAAAGAAATAAGCCAAGACCTCAGAAAAAAATGGTAGACCTCCACAAGTCTGGTTCATCCTTTTCAAATGCCTGAAGGTACCTTGTTCATCTGTACAAACAATAGTACGCAAGTATAAACACCATGGGACCATGCAGCCGTCATACCGCTCAGGAAGGAGACTCGTTCTGTCTCCTAGAGGTGAACGTACTTTGGTGCAAAAAGTGCAAATCAATCCCAGAACAACAGCAAAGGCCCTTGTGAAGATGCTGGAGGAAACAGGTACAAAAGTATCTATATCCACAGTAAAACGAGTCCTATATCGACATAACCTGAAAGGCCGCTCAGCAAGGAAGAAGCCACTGCTCCAAAACCGCCATAAAAAAGCCAGACTACGGTTTGCAACTGCACATGGGGACAAAGATCGTACTTTTTGGAGAAATGTCCTCTGGTCAGATGAAACAAAAATAGAACTGTTTGGCCATAATGACCATCGTTATGTTTGGAGGAAAAAGGGGGACTTGCAAGCTGAAGAACACCATCCCAACGGTGAAGCACGTGGGTGGCAGCATCATGCTGTGGGGGTGCTTTGCTGCAGGAGGGACTGGTGCACTTCACAAAATAGATGGCATCATTAGGAAGGAAAATTATGTGGATATATTGCAGCAACATCTCAAGACATCAGTCAGGAAGTTAAAGCTTGGTCGCAAATGGGTCTTCCAAATGGACAATGACCTCAAGCATACTTCCAAAGTTGTGGCAAAATGGCTTAAGGACAACAAAGTCAAGGTATTGGAGTGGCCATCACAAAGCCCTGACCTCAATCCTATAGAACATTTGTGGGCAGAAATGAAAAAGCGTGTGCGAGCAAGGAGGCCTATAATCCTGACTCAGTTACACCAGCTCTGTCAGGAGGAATGGGCCAAAATTCACCCAATTTATTGTGGGAAGCTTGTGGAAGGCTAGCCGAAACGTTTGACCCAAGTTAAACAATTTAAAGGCAATGCTACCAAATACTAATTGAGTGTATGTAAACTTCTGACCCACTGGGAATGTGATGAAAGAAATAAAAGCTGAAATAAATCTCTCTCTAGTATTATTCTGACATTTCACATTATTAAAATAAAAGTGGTGATCCTAACTGACCTAAGACAGGGAATTCTTACTAGGATTACATTTACATCATTTAGCAGACGCTCTTATCCAGAGCAACTTACAGTTAGTGAGTGCATACATTATTATTTTTTATACTGGCCCCCCGTGGGAATCAAACCCACAACCCTGGCGTTGCAAACGCCATGCTCTACCAACTGAGCTACATCCATGCCGGCCATTCCCTCCCCTACCCTGGACCAATTGTGCGCCGCCCCATGGGTCTCCCGGTCGCGGCCAGCTACGACAGAGCCTGGATTCGAACCAGGATCTCTAGTGGCACAGCTAGCACTGCGATGCAGTGCCTTAGACCACTGCGCCACTCGGGAGATACATGTCAAGAATTGTAAAAAACTGAGTTGAAATGTATTTGGCTAAGGTCAACTTCCCACTTCAACTGTATGTCATATGATATGGTGACAGCTATCCAGCCGCTGTGAGATCAGTCAAGCAACTGCAACGTTGTCAGTCTGGAATGCAGCGCCAACATGTATTATTCCCGGTGTGTTCTTGGATCTCTGTGCCATATTCCCCTCCCTTCAAACCTGTTTAGCAACAACTGAGGGAGTCAAGTGAAGGCTTTTTGTATTAGAAGGTAACAAACCAGCCACTTCCTGGTAACAACCGAAATCTAGTGACTAATAGGTCTCTTTACTGGAAGGACTCCATATTACATGATTTGTAGGTCACTTCAGGCAGGGCTTCTGTAGGCTAAAGCAACACTTAACCTACATTTCAGTTATTTTTCATTTTATAAACAACTAAATTGACAGATGTTGGTTCAATTATTTTAATTCCATTTCGTTCATTTATTTTCCTGTGAGCTCAATACGCAGTTTCTCTAGAGATAAATCAGATCCAGCCTGAACTGTGTGATGTAGTAGGGAGTTGTAGTTTCCAACAGGCCAATATTCTACATAGTTTAATTGCAGAAAACGTGGTAATTAACTACAATGACCATAATCCATTGCGCACCTACTTGTCCGTTCTGTGTGTTTCTTTTATGACTGCTACAGAAGAGACAGAATAATGCGTGATCATGATGGGGATATAGAGAGCAGCTGTTGCTTTGCGAGGTGTCTCTACCTGAAAATACGTGATCTTAGTGATTGATAGTTGGTATTCAGCAGTCATAAGAGTAGGCCTTATTTACTTTGAAGAACTACTAAAATAGTTATTTTTGTCAGACAGCATAGACAGCAGCTCTATAGAGATGAGATGAGGACTTGGAATGAAATAATAAAGTCATCAAATAAAACTAATGGAATATGCAACTGAAATATTTTATTAAAGTAAAGTAATTATGTGTTGTTACAGCATTCAACCCACATAATGCATAGTGTATTTAATAAAATAAAAATCAATGAAATCGAAAACGTGATTTAAAAAAAAATAATCGAACGGAAACCAAACCGACCTCAAAAAGCACTAATCACTCAGCCACACTCTTTAATTTTTGCATTTTCCACAAAAAAGTGGTCAACCAAGGCACCCCAAAAAATGCACACAATGGGAGCAAATGTATCACATGGTATTTTCACATACAAATAGAACTTAGGCAGGTAGCTTAGTGGTTAAGAGCGTTGTGCCAGTAACCGACTAGGTGAAAAATCTGTTGATGTGCCCTTGAGCAAGGCACTTAACCCTAATTGCTCCTGTAAATCGCTCTGGATTAGAGTGTCTGCTAAATGACTAAAATTAAAAAAAAAAAATATTCAAGCTGTATCAATGAAGTGTTGCAGATTCCCTGATTTAAATGTAAAGGTAATTTCCGATTGAGCCGACATATGCAGTGTTTACCATGAATGCACTATCGTGGGAACATTGCCTTTACATTTCAATCACGCTGTAATGCTGAACTTCCGCAATACAGATTGAATAGAGCCCTTCATTTCTATGATACATCTATCAGCAACATTACTTTCTAAAACATGAGGATATACAGTGGCTTGCGAAAGTATTCACCCCCCTTGGCATTTTTCCTATTTTGTTGCCTACAACCTGGAATTAAAATTGATTTTGGGGGTATCATTTGATGTACACAACAGCCTACCACTTTGAAGATGCAAAATATGTTTTATTGTGAAACAAACAAGAAATAAGACCAAAAAACAGAAAACTTGAGCGTGCATAACTATTCACCCCCCCAAAGTCAATACTTTGTAGAGCCACCTTTTGCAGCAATTACAGCTGCAAGTCTCTTGGGGTATGTCTCTATAAGCTTGGCACATCTAGCCACTGGGATTTTTGCCCATTCTTCAAGGCAAAACTGCTCCAGCTCCTTCAAGTTGGATGGGTTCCGCTGGTGTACAGCAATCTTTAAGTCATACCACAGATTCTCAATTGGATGGAGGTCTGGGCTTTGACTAGGCCATTCCAAGACATTTAAATGTTTCCCCTTAAACCACTCAAGTGTTGCTTTAGCAGTATGCTTAGGGTCATTGTCCTGCTGGAAAGTGAACCTCCGTCCCAGTCTCAAATCTCTGGAAGACTGAAACAGGTTTCCCGCAAGAATTTCCCTGTATTTAGCACCATCCATCATTCCTTCAATTCTGACCAGTTTCCCAGTCCCTGCCAATGAAAAACATCCCCACAGCATGATGCTGCCACCACCATGCATCATTGTGGGGATGGTGTTTTCGGGGTGATGAGAGGTGTTGGGTTTGCGCCAGACATAGTGTTTTCCTTGATGGCCAGAAAGCTCAATTTTAGTCTAATCTGACCAGAGTACCTTCTTCCATATGTTTGGGGAGTCTCCCACGTGCCTTTTGGCGAACACCAAATGTGTTTGCTTATTTTTTTCTTTAGGCTTTTTTCTGGCCACTCTTCCGTAAAGCCCAGCCCTGTGGAGTGTACGGCTTAAAGTGGTCCTATGGACAGATACTCCAATCTCCGCTGTGGAGCTTTGCAGCTCCTTCAGGGTTATCTTCAGTCTCTTTGTTGCCTCTGATTAATACCCTCCTTGCCTGGTCCGTGAGTTTTGGTGGGCGGCCCTGTATGGCAGGTTTGTTGTGGACCCTCCACTGACCCATTTTTTTTATTTTATTTTATGTCATTTAGCAGACGCTCTTATCCAGAGCGACTTACAGGAGCAATTTAAAAATATATATATATGCCATTTAGCAGACGCTTTTATCCAAAGCGACTTACAGTCATGCGTGCATACATTTTTGTGTATGGGTGGTCCCGGGGATCGAACCCACTACCTTGGCGTTACAAGCGCCGTGCTCTACCAGCTGAGCTACAGAGGACCAATTAGGGTTAAGTGCCTTGCTCAAGGGCACATCGACAGATTTCTCACCTAGTCGGCTCGGGGATTAGAACCAGCGACCTTTCGGTTACTGGCACAACGCTCTTAACCACTAAGCTACCTGCCGCCCCGTAACACTGAGTGCAGCTTTTGATGTCATTGATCATAACCTGCTGACAAAACATAGGTGTTATGGATTTGCATCCTCTGCCTTATCATGGATTGAGAGTTACCTATCTAATAGAACACTGAGGGTTTTCGTTAATGGAAGCCTCTCTCATGCAAATTCAGTTGAGTGTGTTGTACCGCAGGGCAGCCGGCTAGGGTCATTATTGATTTCTGTTTTTACAAATGACCCTCCACTGACCTTGAATAAAGCCTGTGTTTCTATGTAGGCTGACGACTCAACAGTATACACGTCGGCTGCAACAGTAAAATAAATAACTGAGGCACTTAACATAGTGCTCCAGACAGTTTTAGAATGGGTAACTAGCAATAGGCTGGTGCTAAATATCTCAAAAACTAAAAGCATAATTTTTCGGACAAATTACTCACTCAATGCTAAACCTTGTTTAGGTCTATTATTGAATAATGTGGCTATTGAGCAAGTTGAGGAGACTAAACTGCTGGGTGTAACCCTACATAGCAAGCTTTCATGGTCAAAACATATAGAGTCAATGGTTGCTAAAATGGGAAGAAGTCTGTCCGTGATATGGCGTTGCTCTGCCTTCTTGACATCTCAGTTGACCAGACAGGTCCTACAGGCCCTAGTTTTGTTGCACCTGGACTACTGCCCAGCTGTGTGGTCATGTGCGGCAAAGAAGGACATAGGTCAATTGCAGTTGGTGCAGAACAAAGCAGCATGTATCGCACTTAGATGTGGAGGGAAAGTGTCAGTAACATGCATGTCAGTCTCTCCTGGCTCAAAGTTGAGGAGAGATTGACTGCATCACTATTGGTATTTGTGCGAGGTGTTGATGCGTTGAAGGTACCGAACTGTCTGTTCAAGCAGTCGGCACACAGTTCGGACACTCATCGGTACAACACAAGACATGCCACCAGAGGTCTCTTCACAGTCCCCAGGTCCAGAACAGAGGCTGGGAAACACACAGTATTATATAGAGCCATGACTACATGAAATTCTCTGCCACCCCAGGTAACTCTCAAGCTAGCAATAAAACCAGTTAACAAAAACGGATAAAAGAACACCTTACGGCACGTTGGGGACCGTGAAGAGACACGGCCATTTTATATATCTTGTATTGTAATCTGCACTGTACTATGTATTAGACCTAGATATTGTGTGTATGTACTGATATGTAGGCTGTGTGAAGTTTTAAATGTATGTATTTCAGTCCTTGACTAATAATGTTCTGTACTATGTATTATGTAATGTTTCATGTGGACCCCAGGAAGAGTAGCTGATGTTTATGCAGGGCTAATGGGGATCCTAATAAATACCTATACCAATTCGTGTAAAAAGATCAGAATTGGGCTGCCTGTGTAAACGTGTAAAAGAGGAAAGCTGTTATTATTGTGCTTTCAGACATCAATATTGTTCATTTTGTTTGATAAGGCTTTTCATGCAAGGTATGGCTAATAAATGTGGTCCTCTGTAGCTCAATTGGTAGTGGGTTCGATCCCCGGGACCACCCGTACGTGCTAAATGGCATATTATATTATTATATAAACACTACAGTGTTGGGAGTTAAAAGGACATCACAGCTGAATACATACACACCTGTACACACTACGGTATATGGCTATGTATCCGTGCAAAGCTACACATTATTTGGTCACGTATGGCTTATATAGTACTATACAAAACAGTAGAGAACTTTCAAATGACATGTTACAGGAGTGCAACTACAACTGTGCAAGGCTGTGCATAGTAACACAATCATTTTTAAAGCGATTTTATTTTCCCAACTAGATAGTTATTTTAAAGCTGTGAATACATTGGGAGTCTTTTGGAGTGGGAGAAACTACTTATTGCAATGTTTGGTTTTATCATTCCATTACGTTCAGTAACAAAAATGACTGCAGCCTCTATATCCTCGCTAAGCTGTCACAGTATCCAGAATGAACACGGGGATTTTTTGAGATGATGAATAGGCTTTTCGTTCATGACTTTAAACTGCAAGTTTCAGCACAGCGTGGCAGCTCCTACTCACCAAGTAAAATGCAGGATATGTGTAAATGTTCTTGGCAAATAAAGTGATTCTGAAGTCCCTGTACGCAATGGGACGTGCGCACACTACTTCTGAACTGGTTAGTACTAAACAGACTAAATGCAGCTATTTTTTTATCCACACTCAGAAAGCTGCAGAGTGAATCCCTGCCCTTCCATAACCCATCCTAACTACAGCTGTCTTTCCTGTATTAGCCATGCAAAGCATTTACAATGTAGTGCAATAATCTATCAAGGTTAATGATTTGGTTTGGATCACAAAAAAAAAAGGAAAAAGTAAGATGTGGTCTGGTTTTCTGCAGTGGTTCTAAGGAGGGAGGAGACAACAGCGGTTCTAAGGAGGGAGGAGACAACAGTGGTTCTAAGGAGGGAGGAGACAACAGTGGTTCTAAGGAGGGAGGAGACAACAGTGGTTCTAAGGAGGGAGGAGACAACAGTGGTTCTAAGGAGGGAGGAGACAACAGTGGTTCTAAGGAGGGAGGAGACAACAGTGGTTCTAAGGAGGGAGGAGACAACAGTGGTTCTAAGGAGGGAGGAGACAACAGTGGTTCTAAGGAGGGAGGAGACAACAGCGGTTCTAAGGAGGGAGGAGACAACAGTGGTTCTAAGGAGGGAGGAGACAACAGCGGTTCTAAGGAGGGAGGAGACAACAGTGGTTCTAAGGAGGGAGGAGACAACAGCGGTTCTAAGGAGGGAGGAGACAACAGCGGTTCTAAGGAGGGAGGAGACAACAGTGGTTCTAAGGAGGGAGGAGACAACAGTGGTTCTAAGGAGGGAGGAGACAACAGTGGTTCTAAGGTGAGGAGAGACAACAGTGGTTCTAAGGTGAGGAGAGACAAGACCTAGGGGTAATGCAGCAGTACCGGAGGGTCCTGTACTTTATGGCATCCATGTGAATGAATAGTGAGCAGCATAGTTCTCCTGAGGGCCGAGCCAAACCAAGCCAGCCCAGTTCGGTTTGGGTTGTCCCGACAGTGTGAAAAGGGTACAGTTGATTGGTGTCTCCTGTCTTCTAGCCCTGGGCCGTGTTCACTGGGCACGAAGAGGAAGAAATAAGTTTCATTTTCGTTGTCCGTTGCGCAACATTTTTGAAACGTTTTGCTACGGCGTGCCCTAATAAACACGACCCAGGTCTATGGTGACCATCTCCTCCCGTCTGTCCTTCTACCCCTGGTCTGTGAGGTAGAAGCCCAGCTTGGCCACAGTCATCTCCCTCCGTAGACGTGTCACCTCCCAGAACATCTGCTCCGCTGGGGGGGGGGGGGGGGGGGGGAGGGGACAGAGACTAAGACATAAGCATTAGGGTTGAAAGGGTTTCAGTCAGTTTCAGAACGCCAGACAGATTTAATGTCTGCATTAACAAAGATAACTCATTGCCACTGTCACCATTACTGTTAAAATGGGTGTCTGTTGTTGATCTCTCTGTGTCTGTGTCTATCTGTTAGAAGGGGGACGTCAGACTTACCGTCATGTCTGACCAGACCCTGCTGGATGTACCGGATGTAGGTGAAGAAATTACACGCAGCCGTGATCTGGAAGGGGGTGGATATGAGGAAGGGGTTCACACACTTTCAAACAAACGTTTTCTCACGTAGGCCTACGTGACGAAAGTATTTATGAACACAAAAGGTAGTCATTGATAGGTCTATAGACGTTGAGGAGGATAAGTGAATGCATACATTTTATTCAATACTTTTTCAAATAAACACATTTTTTCTTCAAAAAACAACAGAGCTAGGTACCCGTGCCCTGCTGGAGGGAGAGATGTAGTAGTAACCCTCTTTGTCACCCAGTTTGATGTGGTGCTTACAGGACCGGGACACGCCGCTCAACGCACACTTCCTGTTATATAGAGGCAGAGGAAGAAAAAAAAACAACACCGACCAACTCACTCATTTATGGAATTCTACGGTGCACGTTTCCTGGACCACAAATTAAGCCTAAAACATGTACCTAAAAGCACTTTCAAGGGAGATTCTCCATTGAGCAGGTTTTTTTTTAGTCCAGGACTAGTCTTAACCTGGGTCTGGGAAACCGACCCTACATGTAGAAGACATGAGAACATGAAAAGGAACGAACAACATGTGGCTGAACACTGGACAGATATGGAGCCGCTTCCTCCCTGGATGGAGTTACAGTGGGGAAAAAAGTATTTAGTCAGCCACCAATTGTGCAAGTTCTCCCACTTAAAAATATTAGAGAGGCCTGTAATTTTCATCATAGGTACACGTCAACTATGACAGACAAATTGAGGAAAAAAAATCCAGAAAATCACATTGTAGGATTTTTAATGAATTTATTTGCAAATTATGGTGGAAAATAAGTATTTGGTCACCTACAAACAAGCAAGATTTCTGGCTCTCACAGACCTGTAACTTCTTCTTTAAGAGGCTCCTCTGTCCTCCACTCGTTACCTGTATTAATGGCACCTGTTTGAACTTGTTATCAGTATAAAAGACACCTGTCCACAACCTCAAACAGTCACACTCCAAACTCCACTATGGCCAAGACCAAAGAGCTGTCAAAGGACACCAGAAACAAAATTGAAGACCTGCACCAGGCTGGGAAGACGGAATCTGCAATAGGTAAGCAGCTTGGTTTGAAGAAATCAACTGTGGGAGCAATTATTAGGAAATGGAAGACATACAAGACCACTGATAATCTCCCTCGATCTGGGGCTCCACGCAAGATCTCACCCCGTGGGGTCAAACTGATCACAAGAACGGTGAGCAAAAATCCCAGAACCACACGGGGGGACCTAGTGAATGACCTGCAGAGAGCTGGGACCAAAGTAACAAAGCCTACCATCAGTAACACACTACGCCGCCAGGGACTCAAATCCTGCACTGCCAGACGTGTCCCCCTGCTTAAGCCAGTACATGTCCAGGCCCGTCTGAAGTTTGCTAGAGTGCATTTGGATATAACAAAGTATTGAGAAACTTTTGTTATTGACCAAATATTTATTTTCCACCATAATTTGCAAATAAATTCATTAAAAATCCTACAATGTGATTTTCTGGAGAAAAAAAAATCTCATTTTGTCTGTCATAGTTGACGTGTACCTATGATGAAAATTACAGGCCTCTCTCATCTTTTTAAGTGGGAGAACTTGCACAATTGGTGGCTGACTAAATACTTTTTTTCCCCACTGTAGATACATCTGAGAAATATGAGGTATATTAGACTTCAGATACACTGGGAGGACAGACAAGATGCTTTACAAGAGCTGTGTATATTAGACTTCAGATACACTGGGAGGACAGACAAGATGGCAGTGAACAACAACAAGACATGCATGGTTGGACAGAGTGTTGGAGGGTATTCTGAAGAGAGTGGAAGGGTAAGCATTCAGAACAGAGAACAACATAGAGCACAGAACACTTTGTTGTTCGTGGAAAAGTAAGGTAATGAAATGATTGGCTCCTGAAGTCACTTACGTCTCTACTGCTGCCCTCAAGCCGCTGGGAAAAGAATTCAATCAAAATTTGATTAGGAAGCATGAGGTGAAGCTGTGCCCCATTAGCAGTGTAGCCCATTGATTCAACTCATTAGGATGAAACTCAGAACAGATTTGAAGAGAAAAACTAAACTAATCTATAGAAAGTCACACCAATCAAGTTTGCATAATTTGCCACGGAGTCATGAATAATGATATTAATTATAGATGACACGTGTAATTGTGATAAATCACCAAGAGCAGAGGGAGTGTTGATTTGAGCATGAATAGACATTGAATGAGAATGAACAGAGACAGAGGAAGAGAGAGTGATGGGTGGGCAGTGATGGGTGGGCAGTGATGGGTGGGCAGTGATGGGTGGGCAGTGATGGGTGGGCAGTGATGGGTGGGCAGTGATGGGTGGGCAGTGATGGGTGGGCAGTGATGGGTGGGCAGTGATGGGTGGGCAGTGATGGGTGGGCAGTGATGGGTGTGGTCCAGTTGTAAGGAAACAAAACGTGAAGCTGACTACATTTTCTGAGGGAAACAGTCCCAATGTTGGAAATAAACAACCTTATAACACTGTAATAATGTTGTGATAACGTTTTAATAACATTGAGGGATAACTCACTTGGGCCCGCCACACTCTATGGCGTTGGCTTTGACCACGGGTAAAGCTGACATGGCCACCGGCTCGATGGTCAGAGAGTTGTTCTCCACTGCACTCTGTACCGACTGAGACAACTGTGGCCGGAACAAGGAGTCACAATGCAAGTAATACAACAACAAACTATACATACGCACAAAAGCCTTCTCCCCGACACATCTATATGTATTATTATTATTATTATTATTATTTATTATTATTAACAATTAAAAGTCATATACATTTATTCTTGTGACTTTTGGTTTATTTCATATGTATTTATATCTGTCTTCTGTCAATTATGCTGTTAGGCATTTTTTTTGTCTAATTTGAATGATATTATTCTATTAGAATAGTTATGGTATTCTATTATGCTATTAGAATAGTTTTGGTATTCTATTATGCTATTAGAATAGTTATGGTATTCTATTATGCTATTAGAATAGTTATGGTATTCTATTATGCTATTAGAATAGTTCTGGTATTCTATTATGCTATTAGAATAGTTATGGTATTCTATTATTCTATTAGAATATTTATGGTATTCTATTCTATTATGCTATTAGAATAGTTATGGTATTCTATTATGCTATTAGAATAGTTATGGTATTCTATTCTATTATGCTATTAGAATAGTTATGGTATTATATTATGCTATTAGAATAGTTATGGTATTCTATTATGCTATTAGAATAGTTATGGTATTCTATTCTATTATGCTATTAGAATAGTTATGGTATTCTATTATGCTATTAGAATAGTTATGGTATTCTATTCTATTATGCTATTAGAATAGTTATGGTATTATATTATGCTATTAGAATAGTTATGGTATTCTATTCTATTATGCTATTAGAATAGTTATGGTATTCTATTCTATTATGCTATTAGAATAGTTATGGTATTCTATTATGCTATTTGAATAGTTATGGTATTCTATTATGCTATTAGAATAGTTATGGTATTCTATTCTATTATGCTATTAGAATAGTTATGGTATTCTATTATGCTATTAGAATAGTTATGGTATTATATTATGCTATTAGAATAGTTATGGTATTCTATTATGCTATTAGAATAGTTATGGTATTCTATTCTATTATGCTATTAGAATAGTTATGGTATTCTATTCTATTATGCTATTAGAATAGTTATGGTATTCTATTATATTATGCTATTAGAATAGTAATGGTATTCTATTCTATTATGCTATTAGAACAGTTACGGTATTCTATTATGCTATTAGAATAGTTATGGTATTCTATTCTATTATGCTATTAGAATAGTTATGTTATTCTATTATGCTATTAGAATAGTTATGGTATTCTATTCTATTATGCTATTAGAATAGTTATGGTATTCTATTCTATTATGCTATTAGAATAGTTATGGTGTTCTATTATATTATGCTATTAGAATAGTTATGGTATTCTATTCTATTATGCTATTAAAATAGTTATGGTATTCTATTATGCTATTATAATAGTTATGGTATTCTATTATGCTATTAGAATAGTTATGGTATTCTATTCTATTATGCTATTAGAATAGTTATGGTATTCTATTCTATTATGCTATTAGAATAGTTATGGTATTCTATTCTATTATGCTATTAGAATAGTTATGGTGTTCTATTATATTATGCTATTAGAATAGTTATGGTATTCTATTCTATTATGCTATTAGAATAGTTATGGTATTCTATTATGATATTAGAATAGTTATGGTATTCTATTATGCTATTAGAATAGTTATGGTATTCTATTATGCTATTAGAATAGTTATGGTATTCTATTCTATTATGCTATTAGAATAGTTATGGTATTCTATTCTATTATGCTATTAGAATAGTTATGGTATTCTATTATGCTATTAGAATAGTTATGGTATTCTATTATGCTATTAGAATAGTTATGGTATTCTATTATATTATGCTATTAGAATAGTTATGGTATTCTATTATGCTATTAGAATAGTTATGGTATTCTATTATGCTATTAGAATAGTTATGGTATTCTATTCTATTATGCTATTAGAATAGTTATGGTATTCTATTATGCTATTAGAATAGTTATGGTATTCTATTATATTATGCTATTAGAATAGTTATGGTATTCTATTATGCTATTAGAATAGTTATGGTATTCTATTCTATTATGCTATTTGAATAGTTATGGTATTCTATTCTATTATGCTATTAGAATAGTTATGGTATTCTATTATGCTATTTGAATAGTTATGGTATTCTATTATGCTATTAGAATAGTTATGGTATTCTATTCTATTATGCTATTAGAATAGTTATGGTATTCTATTATGCTATTAGAATAGTTATGGTATTATATTATGCTATTAGAATAGTTATGGTATTCTATTATGCTATTAGAATAGTTATGGTATTCTATTATATTATGCTATTAGAATAGTTATGGTATTCTATTCTATTATGCTATTAGAATAGTTATGGTATTCTATTATATTATGATATTAGAATAGTAATGGTATTCTATTCTATTATGCTATTAGAATAGTTATGGTATTCTATTATGCTATTAGAACAGTTATGGTATTCTATTATGCTATTAGAATAGTTATGGTATTCTATTCTATTATGCTATTAGAATAGTTATGGTATTCTATTCTATTATGCTATTAGAATAGTTATGGTATTATATTATGCTATTAGAATAGTTATGGTATTCTATTCTATTATGCTATTAGAATAGTTATGGTATTCTATTCTATTATGCTATTAGAATAGTTATGGTATTCTATTATGCTATTTGAATAGTTATGGTATTCTATTATGCTATTAGAATAGTTATGGTATTCTATTCTATTATGCTATTAGAATAGTTATGGTATTATATTATGCTATTAGAATAGTTATGGTATTCTATTATGCTATTAGAATAGTTATGGTATTCTATTCTATTATGCTATTAGAATAGTTATGGTATTCTATTATGCTATTAGAATAGTTATGGTATTCTATTCTATTATGCTATTAGAATAGTTATGGTATTATATTATGCTATTAGAATAGTTATGGTATTCTATTATGCTATTAGAATAGTTATGGTATTCTATTCTATTATGCTATTAGAATAGTTATGGTATTCTATTCTATTATGCTATTAGAATAGTTATGGTATTCTATTATGCTATTAGAATAGTTATGGTATTCTATTATGCTATTAGAATAGTTATGGTATTCTATTCTATTATGCTATTAGAATAGTTATGGTATTCTATTATGCTATTAGAATAGTTATGGTATTCTATTATGCTATTAGAATAGTTATGGTATTCTATTCTATTATGCTATTAGAATAGTTATGGTATTCTATTATGCTATTAGAATAGTTATGGTATTCTATTATATTATGCTATTAGAATAGTTATGGTATTCTATTATGCTATTAGAATAGTTATGGTATTCTATTCTATTATGCTATTTGAATAGTTATGGTATTCTATTATATTATGATATTAGAATAGTAATGGTATTCTATTCTATTATGCTATTAGAATAGTTATGGTATTCTATTCTATTATGCTATTAGAATAGTTATGGTATTCTATTATGCTATTAGAATAGTTATGGTATTCTATTCTATTATGCTATTAGAATAGTTATGGTATTCTATTCTATTATGCTATTAGAATAGTTATGGTATTCTATTATGCTATTTGAATAGTTATGGTATTCTATTATGCTATTAGAATAGTTATGGTATTCTATTCTATTATGCTATTAGAATAGTTATGGTATTCTATTATGCTATTAGAATAGTTATGGTATTCTATTATGCTATTAGAATAGTTATGGTATTCTATTATGCTATTAGAATAGTTATGGTATTCTATTATGCTATTAGAATATTTATGGTATTCTATTCTATTATGCTATTAGAATAGTTATGGTATTCTATTATGCTATTAGAATAGTTATGGTATTCTATTCTATTATGCTATTAGAATAGTTATGGTATTATATTATGCTATTAGAATAGTTATGGTATTCTATTATGCTATTAGAATAGTTATGGTATTCTATTCTATTATGCTATTAGAATAGTTATGGTATTCTATTATGCTATTAGAATAGTTATGGTATTCTATTCTATTATGCTATTAGAATAGTTATGGTATTATATTATGCTATTAGAATAGTTATGGTATTCTATTCTATTATGCTATTAGAATAGTTATGGTATTCTATTCTATTATGCTATTAGAATAGTTATGGTATTCTATTATGCTATTTGAATAGTTATGGTATTCTATTATGCTATTAGAATAGTTATGGTATTCTATTCTATTATGCTATTAGAATAGTTATGGTATTCTATTATGCTATTAGAATAGTTATGGTATTATATTATGCTATTAGAATAGTTATGGTATTCTATTATGCTATTAGAATAGTTATGGTATTCTATTCTATTATGCTATTAGAATAGTTATGGTATTCTATTCTATTATGCTATTAGAATAGTTATGGTATTCTATTATATTATGCTATTAGAATAGTAATGGTATTCTATTCTATTATGCTATTAGAACAGTTACGGTATTCTATTAAGCTATTAGAATAGTTATGGTATTCTATTCTATTATGCTATTAGAATAGTTATGTTATTCTATTATGCTATTAGAATAGTTATGGTATTCTATTCTATTATGCTATTAGAATAGTTATGGTGTTCTATTATATTATGCTATTAGAATAGTTATGGTATTCTATTCTATTATGCTATTAGAATAGTTATGGTATTCTATTATGCTATTATAATAGTTATGGTATTCTATTATGCTATTAGAATAGTTATGGTATTCTATTCTATTATGCTATTAGAATAGTTATGGTATTCTATTATGCTATTAGAATAGTTATGGTATTCTATTCTATTATGCTATTAGAATAGTTATGGTGTTCTATTCTATTATGCTATTAGAATAGTTATGGTATTCTATTCTATTATGCTATTAGAATAGTTATGGTATTATATTATGCTATTAGAATAGTTATGGTATTCTATTCTATTATGCTATTAGAATAGTTATGGTATTCTATTCTATTATGCTATTAGAATAGTTATGGTATTCTATTATGCTATTTGAATAGTTATGGTATTCTATTATGCTATTAGAATAGTTATGGTATTCTATTCTATTATGCTATTAGAATAGTTATGGTATTCTATTATGCTATTAGAATAGTTATGGTATTATATTATGCTATTAGAATAGTTATGGTATTCTATTATGCTATTAGAATAGTTATGGTATTCTATTCTATTATGCTATTAGAATAGTTATGGTATTCTATTCTATTATGCTATTAGAATAGTTATGGTATTCTATTATATTATGCTATTAGAATAGTAATGGTATTCTATTCTATTATGCTATTAGAACAGTTACGGTATTCTATTATGCTATTAGAATAGTTATGGTATTCTATTCTATTATGCTATTAGAATAGTTATGTTATTCTATTATGCTATTAGAATAGTTATGGTATTCTATTCTATTATGCTATTAGAATAGTTATGGTATTCTATTCTATTATACTATTAGAATAGTTATGGTGTTCTATTATATTATGCTATTAGAATAGTTATGGTATTCTATTCTATTATGCTATTATAATAGTTATGGTATTCTATTATGCTATTAGAATAGTTATGGTATTCTATTCTATTATGCTATTAGAATAGTTATGGTATTCTATTATGCTATTAGAATAGTTATGGTATTCTATTCTATTATGCTATTAGAATAGTTATGGTGTTCTATTCTATTATGCTATTAGAATAGTTATGGTATTCTATTCTATTATGCTATTAGAATAGTTATGGTATTCTATTATGATATTAGAATAGTTATGGTATTCTATTATGCTATTAGAATAGTTATGGTATTCTATTATGCTATTAGAATAGTTATGGTATTCTATTCTATTATGCTATTAGAATAGTTATGGTATTCTATTCTATTATGCTATTAGAATAGTTATGGTATTCTATTATGCTATTAGAATAGTTATGGTATTCTATTCTATTATGCTATTAGAATAGTTATGGTATTCTATTCTATTATGCTATTAGAATAGTTATGGTATTCTATTATGCTATTAGAATAGTTATGGTATTCTATTATGCTATTAGAATAGTTATGGTATTCTATTCTATTATGCTATTAGAATAGTTATGGTATTCTATTATGCTATTAGAATAGTTATGGTATTCTATTATATTATGCTATTAGAATAGTTATGGTATTCTATTATGCTATTAGAATAGTTATGGTATTCTATTCTATTATGCTATTTGAATAGTTATGGTATTCTATTCTATTATGCTATTAGAATAGTTATGGTATTCTATTATGCTATTTGAATAGTTATGGTATTCTATTATGCTATTAGAATAGTTATGGTATTCTATTCTATTATGCTATTAGAATAGTTATGGTATTCTATTATGCTATTAGAATAGTTATGGTATTATATTATGCTATTAGAATAGTTATGGTATTCTATTATGCTATTAGAATAGTTATGGTATTCTATTATATTATGCTATTAGAATAGTTATGGTATTCTATTCTATTATGCTATTAGAATAGTTATGGTATTCTATTATATTATGATATTAGAATAGTAATGGTATTCTATTCTATTATGCTATTAGAACAGTTATGGTATTCTATTATGCTATTAGAATAGTTATGGTATTCTATTCTATTATGCTATTAGAATAGTTATGGTATTCTATTATGCTATTAGAATAGTTATGGTATTCTATTCTATTATGCTATTAGAATAGTTATGGTATTCTATTCTATTATGCTATTAGAATAGTTATGGTGTTCTATTATATTATGCTATTAGAATAGTTATGGTATTCTATTATGCTATTAGAATAGTTATGGTATTCTATTATGCTATTAGAATAGTTATGGTATTCTATTATGCTATTAGAATAGTTATGGTATTCTATTCTATTATGCTATTAGAATAGTTATGGTATTCTATTCTGCTATTAGAATAGTTATGGTATTCTATTCTATTATGCTATTAGAATAGTTATGGTATTCTATTCTATTATGCTATTAGAATAGTTATGGTATTCTATTCTATTATGCTATTAGAATAGTTATGGTATTCTATTATATTATGCTATTAGAATAGTTATGGTATTCTATTATGCTATTAGAATAGTTATGGTATTCTATTCTATTATGCTATTAGAATTGTTATGGTATTCTATTATGCTATTAGAATAGTTATGGTATTATATTATGCTATTAGAATAGTTATGGTATTCTATTCTATTATGCTATTAGAATAGTTATGGTATTCTATTCTATTATGCTATTAGAATAGTTATGGTGTTCTATTATGCTATTAGAATAGTTATGGTATTCTATTATGCTATTAGAATAGTTATGGTATTCTATTCTATTATGCTATTAGAATAGTTATGGTATTCTATTCTATTATGCTATTAGAATAGTTATGGTATTCTATTATGCTATTAGAATAGTTATGGTATTCTATTATGCTATTAGAATAGTTATGGTATTCTATTCTATTATGCTATTAGAATAGTTATGGTATTCTATTATGCTATTAGAATAGTTATGGTATTCTATTCTATTATGCTATTAGAATAGTTATGGTATTCTATTCTATTATGCTATTAGAATAGTTATGGTGTTCTATTATATTATGCTATTAGAATAGTTATGGTATTCTATTATGCTATTAGAATAGTTATGGTATTCTATTATGCTATTAGAATAGTTATGGTATTCTATTCTATTCTGCTATTAGAATAGTTATGGTATTCTATTCTGCTATTAGAATAGTTATGGTATTCTATTCTATTATGCTATTAGAATAGTTATGGTATTCTATTCTATTATGCTATTAGAATAGTTATGGTATTCTATTCTATTATGCTATTAGAATAGTTATGGTATTCTATTCTATTATGCTATTAGAATAGTTATGGTATTCTATTATGCTATTAGAATAGTTATGGTATTCTATTCTATTATGCTATTAGAATTGTTATGGTATTCTATTATGCTATTAGAATAGTTATGGTATTATATTATGCTATTAGAATAGTTATGGTATTCTATTCTATTATGCTATTAGAATAGTTATGGTATTCTATTCTATTATGCTATTAGAATAGTTATGGTGTTCTATTATGCTATTAGAATAGTTATGGTATTCTATTATGCTATTAGAATAGTTATGGTATTCTATTCTATTATGCTATTAGAATAGTTATGGTATTCTATTCTATTATGCTATTAGAATAGTTATGGTATTCTATTATGCTATTAGAATAGTTATGGTATTCTATTATGCTATTAGAATAGTTATGGTATTCTATTCTATTATGCTATTAGAATAGTTATGGTATTCTATTCTATTATGCTATTAGAATAGTTATGGTATTCTATTATGCTATTAGAATAGTTATGGTATTCTATTATGCTATTAGAATAGTTATGGTATTCTATTATGCTATTAGAATAGTTATGGTATTCTATTATGCTATTAGAATAGTTATGGTATTCTATTATGCTATTAGAATAGTTATGGTATTCTATTCTATTATGCTATTAGAATAGTTATGGTATTCTATTCTATTATGCTATTAGAATAGTTATGGTATTCTATTCTATTATGCTATTAGAATAGTTATGGTATTCTATTATGCTATTAGAATAGTTATGGTATTCTATTATGCTATTAGAACAGTTAAGGTATTATATTATGCTATTAGAATAGTTATGGTATTCTATTCTATTATGCTATTAGAATAGTTATGGTATTCTATTATGCTATTAGAATAGTTATGGTATTCTATTATGCTATTAGAATAGTTATGGTATTCTATTCTATTATGCTATTAGAATAGTTATGGTATTCTATTATGCTATTAGAATAGTTATGGTATTCTATTCTATTATGCTATTAGAATAGTTATGGTATTCTATTATGCTATTAGAATAGTTATGTTATTCTATTATGCTATTAGAATAGTTATGTTATTCTATTATGCTATTAGAATAGTTATGGTATTCTATTCTATTATGCTATTAGAATAGTTATGTTATTCTATTATGCTATTAGAATAGTTATGGTATTCTATTCTATTATGCTATTAGAATAGTTATGGTATTCTATTATGCTATTAGAATAGTTATGGTCTTCTATTATGCTATTTGAATAGTTATGGTATTCTATTATGCTATTAGAATAGTTATGGTATTCTATTATGCTATTAGAATAGTTATGGTATTCTATTATGCTATTAGAATAGTTATGGTATTCTATTCTATTATGCTATTAGAATAGTTATGGTATTCTATTATGCTATTAGAATAGTTATGGTATTCTATTCTATTATGCTATTAGAATAGTTATGGTATTCTATTATGCTATTAGAATAGTTATGTTATTCTATTATGCTATTAGAATAGTTATGTTATTCTATTATGCTATTAGAATAGTTATGGTATTCTATTCTATTATGCTATTAGAATAGTTATGTTATTCTATTATGCTATTAGAATAGTTATGGTATTCTATTCTATTATGCTATTAGAATAGTTATGGTATTCTATTATGCTATTAGAATAGTTATGGTATTCTATTATGCTATTTGAATAGTTATGGTATTCTATTATGCTATTAGAATAGTTATGGTATTCTATTATGCTATTAGAATAGTTATGGTATTCTATTATGCTATTAGAATAGTTATGGTATTCTATTATGCTATTAGAATAGCTATGGTATTCTATTATGCTATTAGAATAGTTATGGTATTCTATTATGCTATTAGAATAGTTATGGTATTCTATTCTATTATGCTATTAGAATAGTTATGGTATTCTATTATGCTATTAGAATAGTTATGGTATTATATTATGCTATTAGAATAGTTATGGTATTATATTATGCTATTAGAATAGTTATGGTATTCTATTCTATTATGCTATTAGAATAGTTATGGTATTCTATTCTATTATGCTATTAGAATAGTTATGGTATTCTATTATGCTATTAGAATAGTTATGGTATTCTATTCTATGTACAGAGAAACATGCAGGTACTGGTACCTCAGATCGTGTGAAGGAGAGGCAGGGGACGATGTCCTCCCTGTATATCCGCCCCAGGAAGGCTGAACTTCTGTCCAGACTAGGTCTGTCTCTCCAGGTCAGGAACTCCGCATACAGAACGTTGTCCATCTGAGGAGAGGAGATATAATTGTAATGGGAAATTATTTGATTAATCATTTTCCTGTATTTGATTTAATGTGGATATGGATTGATATGTAATAAACATGATTGTATTAGGGAATAGCTTACAGAGCCGTGGAAAAGTATTAGCCCCCTTTATGATTTTCTCTATTTTTGCATATTTTTTATACTGAATGTTATCAGATTTTCAACCAAAACCTAATATTAGATAAAGGGAACCTGAGTTGACCCCCCCCCCCCAAAAAAAGGATACTGATTTTTATTTATTTAATTAACAAAGTTATGCAACACCCAATGCCCCTGTGTGAAAAAGTAATTGCCCCCTTACACTCAATAACTGGTAGTGCCACTTTTAGCTGCAATGATTGCAACCATATACTTCCTGTAGTTGTTGATCAGTCTCTCACATCGCCGTGGAGGAGTTTTGGCCCACTCTTGCATTCAGAACTGCTGTCTGTGAGCTGAAGCTGAACAGCAGCTGGGCCAAGCAGCAAGACAATGATCCAAAACACACAATCAGGTCTACATGAAAATGGCTAAAAAGCAACACATTTGAAGTTTTGGAATGGCCTAGTCAAAGTTCAGACTTGTTGTGGCAGGACTTGAAACGAGCAGTTCATGCTTGAAAACCCACAAATGTCGCTGAGTTAAAGCAGTTTTGCATGGAAGAGTGGGCCAAAATTCCTCCACAGCGACATGAAAGACTGATCAACAACTACAGGAAGCATTTGGTTGGATTCAATCCAGCTAAAGGTGGCACAACCAGTTATTGAGTGTAAGGTGGCAATTACTTTTTCACACAGGGGAATTGGGTGTTGCATAACATTGTTTATGAAATCAATGAGTATCCTTTTAATTTTTTTTACTCAGGTTCCCTTTATCTAATATTAGGTTTTGGTTGAAGATCTGATAACATTCAGTAACAAAAATATGCAAAAGTAGAGAAAATTAGTCCCAATGTTGGAAATAAACAACCTTATAACATTGTAATAATGTTGTGATAACGTTTTAATAACATTGAGCACTGTAGGTAGTTTCGTGTAGACAGCTCACTACCACTTCCACACTCCATCCCCCAGGGGGCAGCAGCAACCTTGTCCAGATGCTGAGCCTGGTTGATAAGCACATCAGGTGCTGCCAATTAGGGTGATGGTCAGTCAGTGTCCCAGCTGGCAGAGCCGTGAGGCTGCTGGTTCGTTTAGTGGCCATGAAGGCCTTTTCGTTTGTTTTTGAGTTTGGGCATGACTTTTAGTACATATTTATGTTAATGTCACCATCTGAACAAATAACGATCTGCTTGGAATGGCCAACCAAGAGGTCAAGAGGGAGCTGACCCTGGACTTAAGGTAAGGTATCGGCCTCCTGGGTACATACGTTCAACATCTAGGTGCATAAATCAGGTTGAAGACTAGTTAACTAGGCCTAAGACCCCTAGACTTAGCAGTGCAACAACATAAGGTGGTCCTCTGTAGCTCAGCTGGTAGAGCACGGCGCTTGTAACGCCAAGGTAGTGGGATCGATCCCCGGGACCACCCATACACAAAAAATAAAAAATGTATGCACGCATGACTAAGTCGCTTTGGATAAAAGCGTCTGCTAAATGGCATATTATTATTATTATTATTATAAGTGCAACAATATTAGCAGGCTAGTTATTGGTTTAGTAACAATTGTAAGTGCAGGAAGACACAGACAGATGCATTCTGGGAAACAGGAGATAACCATTTATGTTTAAGTACCATAATTTATTTACATTTACATCATTTAGCAGACGCTCTTATCCAGAGCGACTTACACATTGGATGAAGTAGTTGTCACTTGTTAGTCTATAATTATCTGTTGTTTAATTAAGTACTGATGTTATTACCTTTAACCGGTTTAACTGTCAGTACCAGTGTTGAATGTTAAAGTTTGACGCTAAGCCGGATTCAAGGACACACTGTGACACTGTGTGATTCTGTAGAAGCTGATGTTGTGACTTCCTATAAGCCTCTCGGACTGGTGTTTACAGAACATTAGGTTCTGTGTGGTTAATATACAGGTAACTACCAAAATAGAGGAAACACCAACATAAAGTGTCTTAATAGGGCGTTGGGCCACCACGAGCCAGAACAGATTCAATGCACCTTGGCATAGATTCTACAAGTGTCTGGAACTCTACTGGAGGGATGTGACACCATTCCTCCCCGAGAAATTCCCTAACTGGTGTTTTGTTGATGGTGGTGGAAAACGCTGTCTCAGGCGCCGCTCCAGAAACTCCCATAAGTGTTCAATTGGGTTAAGATCTGGCGACTGAGACACACCCACAATTTAAACACCCTATGCTCCTTTGATACCCTCTTTCAAAGTCAGAGATCTCTTCCTCTAGCCGTGGTAGCCAAAATAAGGTGCGACTTGGCATTTTTATACATGACCCTAAGCATGATGGGATGTTAATTGCTTAATTAACTCAGAAACCACAACTGTGTGGAAGCACTTGCTTTCAATATACATGTGTTTCCTTTATTTTGGTAGTTACATGTATAAGGGCCTACTCAGAGAAGACCTGTTAGACATTTTCTTTGCTTCTGCTCTGGAGGTGTTCTCCCTGAATTCTTGTAATAAACCGAATTGATTTTAATTGGCTCTCCTTTCTTCACCTGAATTCCCGTTACAATAATGGACATTCACTTAGTCACTCAGGTCCATATAAAAATGATCCAGATAACATTACTCCATAGAGAGGACAAAGAAACATTCACTCACACATACATTTTACTGTGTATTATTCTGTGTTTTATGTGTAATGTACTTTGTCTTTTTAAAGCACATGAACAATTGAATTTTCCCCCTGGTAGGAAAATAAAGTTGATCTAATCTACTCGGTCAGGCTGAATAAAACTGACATATGAACCATAACTTAGACACTGATCATACAGTAAAGTAGGGAAATAATAGCGACTACAGTAATGCCTGTATATACAAAGCTTTCCATGACAGACTGACCAGGTGAATCCAGGTGAAAGCTATTATCCATTATTGATGTCACTTGTTAAATCCACTTCAATCAGTGTGGATGAAGGGGAGGAGACGGGTTAAAGAAGGAATTTTAAGCCTTGAGACAATCGAGACATGGATTGTGTATGGGTGCCATTCAGAGGGTGAATGGGCAAGACAAAATATTTAAGTGTCTTTGAACGGGGGTATGGTAGTAGGTGCCAGGCGCACCGGTTTGTGTCAAGGACTTAAACGCTGCTGGGTTTTTCACGCTTAACAGTTTCAAGTAAAGGTGACCAGCGCAACTGTGAAGTTGAGTCAACGGACATTCCTGTGTTTTGTAGTCCACCCCAATGGAACAGAGATTGGAAAACGGTTTTTTGGTTCCAAAAAGGGCGCCCCCCCTCCAAAGAACCCCTTTCCCCTTTTTAATTTTTTTTGGTTTCAAATTTGGGTTTTAAATTTTTTTTTTAATTTTTTGGGCCAAAAATTTTTTTTTTTAAAACCCGAAAAACCCACCCCCCATTTAAAAAACCCTATTGGGCCTTCCTTTTTTTTTTTTTTTTTTTTTTTTTTTTTTTTTTTTTTTTTTTTTTTTTTTTTTTTTTTTTTTTTTTTTTTTTTTTTTTTTTTTTTTTTTTTTTTTTTTTTTTTTTTTTTTTTTTTTTTTTTTTTTTTTTTTTTTTTTTTTTTTTTTTTTTTTTTTTTTTTTTTGGGGGGGGGGGGGGGGGGGGGGGGGGGGGGGGGGGGGGGGGGGGGGGGGGGGGGGGGGGGGGGGGGGGGGGGGGGGGGGGGGGGGGGGGGGGGGGGGGGGGGGGGGGGGGGGGGGGGGGGGGGGGGGGGGGGGGGGGGGGGGGGATAATTTTAAAGCAGTCTTTTTACGTGGAACCAAAAGGGGGGTTTTGAAAATTGAATTTTTATATAACCCCCTTAAGTTTTATGGAGGAAGCAATTTCCCCGAAAAAAAGTGTAGAGTTTTAAATCAGTGTTTTTTGTAGGAACAGTATAAGGGCCATTAAGAGAAATGGAAGCATTTTTTGTTTTGTTGGAGGGTTTTTTTGAACGGTAATAAAAAGAGTTTTAAAGGGGTTTTTTAGGAACCCTTTAAGAAAAAAATGGAAACCAAAAGTAAGGGTTTCCTAAAAACGATAAGGAAAAATTATAACCCGGGAAAAAAAAATTTACAAACAAGTTTTTTTTTTTGGAAAGTGAAAGAGTTTTTAAAAGGGGAAGCCTTTTTGTTTTTTGGTAGGAACAAAATTTGAATTATGGTAGGCGAATAAAATGGAACATATGAAAAATTGGGAAAGCAAAATTTTAAGTGGGGAAAAATAGGAGAAGTAAACCCCTGTAAAAAAGTTAATGCAGATAGGGGTTAATAGGTGGAAAGCTAAAATTTATTAAAACATTTGGTTAATTAACTTATAAGGTTATAAGGTAGGAGCAAAAAAGGTTTTAAAAGTTGGAACTGAGAATTTTTTGGTAGGGGGCCATTAGTTTTTGAATGGAAAGCAAAAATTTAATTGGAACGGGGAAAATTTTTGGGTGGGGCCGAAGGTTTTGTCGGACCAAAGTTGGGGGTTTTTAAACATTTTAAAGTTTTAGAGGAACCCCCCAAAGGGAATTTTATCCCGAACAACTGTGGGAAAGGAGTAAAATAAGTTTGTGGAAACTTTCCCCGTAGATTTATGAAGGGAAGAAAGGAGTTATAGTGGGAAGCAGTAGTATTTTTAAAAAATAGAAAGGAAGCAATTTAGTTTTATAGAGGAAGCAAGTTTATTTTAGGAAGCATTGTAGAGTTGGAGGAAGAAAGTATAGATTTATGTAAAGCATGTAGAGTTTGAAAGGAACCCAAAGTGATTTCGTAGGAAAAATTAGTAGAGTTTAGTGGGAAGCGGGGTAAGTTAAAGTAGGAAGCAGAATTTAGGTTTTTGGGGGGAAGCAGTATATGTTTAGTGGGGAAAGGATTTATAGTGGGAAAAGCAGTATGAGTTTTTGTAGGAAGCAAATAG